AGACATGCTCCAGGTGCCCATACCTGGCTCAACAGAAGCTGAAGGGAAATCTGATGATACGCCTATGGTCCTCCACCCTTCCATCGAGGCTAGGGAGTTTGATGCATTGATGGAGTATCTTTTCAAGGCGTAAGTCCAGAGGACACTACAGCTAAGGGGCTAGACTTACCGCCTTGATAAACAGCCGTACAATGGGCATGCCAACAATGCAGGACCTCACTGCAATACTCAAGCTGTCCACCATGTGGGGCATCGAGGATGGGAGGCTGTACGCCATCGACGTGCTGCCGAAGCATCCTCAGTTCACGCCAGCTATGCAGTTCTACCTGGGTCGGACCTACCACGTCGCGGAGTGGGTAGAGCCAGCATTCCGGAAGCTCCTAGCAATGCCATTCAGTGAGATAGACGAAGAGATCGCTCACCTGATGGGGCCCGAAGCGTTCTACCTGCTCAGCCATACACATAACCGTATCAAGGACCACCATGCCATCCTCGCCTTCTATCCGTCAGAGCCATTTTCGAGCTTTATATGCACTAGGGCAGGGAGGTGCGAGCAGGCATGGGTGTCGCATTGGTGGCACGGCGTTGCCAAGCACCTTCTTCATCCTGATTCAGGGAAGAGCGGCCGAGAAATCTTGGAGATGTTGGACAGGGTGCAAGTGCCAGGGATGTGCAGCCATTGTCAAGAAGCAAACGTCCAGTGGGTGAAGGATACCCGAGTGATGATAAAAGCAGACGAGTTCGTCGAGGATGCCGTTGCCAAGGTGGTGATGTGGTATGGATCAGCCAAAGACCAGAAAGAGAAGGTTGGAGGAGGTGATGTCGAGCCCAGTGTTGCAGCCTGATGAGTACGTCGAGAGGTATCATTCATAGCTACATATCATAGTGGTATATATGCGTATAACGCGTCGCGGTATGATCTATTTGCGCACTTGCAGTTCGATGTGTGTTGTGGTATATTTGTTTGCATTTCCATTTTAGGTGCAAACGGATCGTCATATACATGGGCTGTTGAACAAGTGTGACCAGGTGTCACTTTACTTCCAAAGGCATACTGCCGCTGAGTCTTATTACCGTTTGCCTGAAAAATATTTATATATATTTACCATATATTTCTGCATTTATGTATGTTCGTCTTGCTTTGCTGAGGAAATCAGTGTGTGTGCGCTCTTGCTAAATGTGCGGTCGTGGTGTAGTTCTACGTGGCCCAGCAGCAGGCCAGAAGATCAGTGTGTACGTGCAACAACTGCATATGTGAGCGAGTTATCATTACGTGCGCGCCTGCGTGTATATGTTGCTGAAATTAAAAGTGCAAAGGAACCGCCATAGTCATTATCTCACATCCACGAATATTTCTCTGTCATCTAATTCGTGGAGCCACATTACCGATTTCAATATAGATCTAGCCCCTTGGGTACTTTCGTCGTCAAGGTAGGTATACCTCACATGGGTATAACGATGATGATTTTCGAGGCCCCTCCCAGTGCTCAGGCTTATCTGCAGTTTCTTTATCCAGCCGTGGATATCGTTACAATATCTCTGGCCCTATCGAAATACAACGGTATGAACACAAAGGTTGAGTCAGTCGTAACAACATGCATATGTCGAACCGTCATATCCTCCGGTATACGTCTGTTGATCATTACACTCGTACAACAGTGTTAAATCTGACATCTGCGTCGATACCAGGCTGACAACAGAACATGCCCTGGACGTGTACAGGAAACAAGATCAGTGCTCAGAGGTAATTGGGGAGCCATCCTGACGACAGTACTCACTATACTCACTATCGCACAAATATGAGGAAACTCAGCCTGAATAGTGAGCTCAGGAGAAAAAGTGAGGGAGCAACAGCACCTATAGCCAACATGACCTAAGTTAATACATGTACCACCACGCTTCTGCAAGCCATCCTGGCACATTATTCTATCATGCTGTCAGTGACGTGGGGGTACAACAAAGCGGCGTACATATCTCCTGACGCCCCGAACGGTTTGCGGCAGATTCGCATCAAGTTTTCTCAGAGGGTATGCACAACACGAACCTGTACATCGCCCTGGTGAGCGAAGAGCCGTATAGCTGAGGATGAGTTGGCAGGATGTTCCAGGCGGAGTCGGTGATATGGATAACTAAATCACAAGGAAATATCTCCGCAACTGGTGTAGGCCCTTGAGCGTATCCGTCTTCGCGCGAGTAATGCATGAAGTGCATAACACCCTGTTCAACCATCCCTCCCGGTCCCGCGTTTGTACATAACCTTGGCACAATCGTAGTGACGTGCAACAGAAAACACCACGCGAGCATTGCCACCGCCGCTGCTTCCGTCAAAACCAAGCAGTCGATGGGCTGTCATGGAAGATACACTAAGCAACTGAATGATAGAGAATGCGAGAAACATACCGTCGCAATCAGGTGGCATACTGCCTCTGGACCTGATGGAGCACAGGGCATTATACTGGGTGGCATACAAACATAGAACGTCGAGTTCTGCGTATAGATATCACAGGAGATCTTCCAAGGGATTCCAGAGGTGTTCAGATATAGAAAGGGTCGAAAGACGACGGGCGCTGGGATGATGTGGCAAGACACGTCAAAACTCCGTGGTCAGTAACAGCGGTCAGCGTCCGATACGGGCGAGAAATAGAGACAACCGTGAAAGACGTTCTCAGATAAGGACCATCCTAAAAACGTAGAAAGGGAGAAGTCACGATCCCCGCCAAGGCGGTGATATGGACCCCAAAAAATTGAAAGACGTCCAGGGGATCCATGCGATAGCTTCAGTACATGGAGATCGCACACCATGGCATGGTATCACGGGGCGACGCCCCTTCCGCATATTATCACTGGTGAAGAACACACGTACGGCGATGATGTGGCATCGAGCAGGGGAAAATATTTGGGATCTTATGAATCATATGGCATGTTAGAAGTTGTTCCTGAGAGGATGGAGTAACACGGATGAGGCTCACCATATCGGTCAGGGTAGACTCCACGGCCCTGCACAGTGCGGGCAGGTCGAGAGGTGCCGCGAGAGCGGCAAAATCAACAAAGTATTCGACATGAGGCATTGTTCCATGAATGAAAGAGCATGGATAACTCCTTCAGAAACGTTATGAATGTCTGCTATTGTTTCATTTTGCATTTTCCGCGATTTGGTATCCCATTCGTGCTACTGTGGCACGGAGACTCGAGAATCAGTTCGGAAATCTGAAGAACAGCTGGTATTTCCAAAGGAAGACGAGAGGAGAAGAAAATGATAATAGAGGTGACGAAGAAATAACTGTAACTCACCGCTCCCAAAAGGGTGGCAGACCTAACCCTAAGGATCGCGAGCGGTCTGGATTATGACTCTCAGTGGCACACCGATTAGGGTCGTTCATTGTTCTTGCAGGAATAGAAGGGCGGAAGAATCACAAGATAGCAGCTTCTACCGCAGATCACTGAACATAGGCGCATCCTTTTGCAAATTATCGCCTGGCTCTACATCCGATTATGCCGATGTGGCAAGGTGGGTTAGCGATGATTCGAGTCGTGATGGAGAGCGTCTCGGAGAGTGAAGAACGCGAAAAATGAATACCAATTGATACCAGCCTACACATGCAACGCATACGTCGATGAGCTCATTTGAAAGAGAGAGAGGAATGGGACTTTACAGTGGTTGACAAATCCGTCCATCAAAGCGGCGTAAGATAGACGTCAAGGAATCCGACTACCGACTAGACGAGTACGCGATGCCCATTGTTTCATCCAGGGACGCGTCGTCGTGCAGCATCGTGGTAGTATGTAATGCATCAACTTGCCTTCTTCCGATTGTGGCAGGAGGACCCTGCGGCTATCCGAATCAACACCGCCGGATCGCGTTTGCCGGCACGATTTTTTTCTCCCACACTAGTGGCTCCTCAAGGGCTAAGAATTTTCCCGTGTGTGGCTTGGACAGAAGGGCGCTGGATGTGGCCTGGGACTTATTGTTCGACGTGGCGCGTGTTGCCACATATCGATACGGAAAGATGCAGGACGGTATTATCGATGATCAAGGTCACCAGATCGGAGGATAGCACGAAGCCTAGGCTCCGGTTCTGATGTGAGCAGACAAACCAACCGCCGTAAGTTCACACAATGACGGGGCCACAGCCGGCCGAGTTGCCTTTTTGAATGCTTGGTAATACACGAACCTGCTGTATTTGGGGTGGCTGTGGTCTGGTTCGCCGCGGGTGCCACAACCGGGCCACACGACATGTGGCACGAGAGAAGCTGCCACAGGAAGCCACATCCTGAAATGGTATATAAACCACGGTGCGCGTCGCTTGCCCTTGACCCTCACGACACGCCTCCACTGTGGCCCTGCCTCCACACAGCGCGTCTTCCCCCCTTCAACACTGCTTTCCGCCGGCAATAACAGCACAGGTGATTCCCAGCGACGGCGAGCCTGGCGTGGACTGACCATTATTGCAAGGCCAGAAAGGCCCGCCCACAACGCACGCAATATGCCCGAGCGCAACGATGAACATAATGGCCAGCGACCCAGCCCTCCGATAGTCCCGCCAGCACGAAGTCGCTCGTACCGTGGCGCTATCCAGACGGGGTGGCAGCTCTCATTTGGTCCGCATGCAGCGGGCCACGCTCATGGGCGCCTCGAATGCCCTGCTTTGCTTTACGACCCAAACGTCTTCGATGTCGTTCTTGTTCCGCACGCGCTCGTTTCGTCGGTCACGCAGACCGTAAACCGTTACATGAGGAAGCAGAGCAGCATGGGTTTCCGGGAGTCGGAGGCGAGATTTTTTGGTGAAGTTCCTCCCACTGCTCCTAGGAGGTCCGGCGGGGATATCCCCATTCCAGTTCAATGTCCACGAACTCATCATGTTCACCCCTCTCACACTCCTGAAGAAGGCTCTCGCCACACGACGCCAGACGCTCGCCACATGACTCCTGATAGACCCCCTCAAGCTCAAGTACCTCCTCCGCCAGCTCAAAGTCAAAGGATAAACCCACAACCTGCCCCTGCGCCTGCACAACCCCAGCCGACTGCTCGCCACGTCCCGCCGCCACCACCACCTCCTATAGCGCAGGCTCTTCAACAGGGGCCTCCACCACCCGCGCCTCAACCCACTTCAACTGGTCGCAGCTACTACCGACCCTCGGCACGATATGACGATCCTCCCCCCGCCCAACCTGCTCCTAAAGCGCCACCAAAGGCGCGACAAGCACGTCAAGCACGTCAAGCCCCTCCAGCCCCTCCTCCGCGTCCCCCGACACCCATGCAAGTTGACACTGTGTCGGAAGGGCCCGAGAGCGAGGCAGAGACCGAACCAGCTGAGGTGCGACCCCTGTCGCCGTACTACAACACGTCGGGTGAGAGTGAAGTCGGCTCGGACGACGAGGACTCGGATGAGGAGCACGATGAATTGGACGACGACGACGATGACCACGCACCACCTAAGCACCGCGCGTCGATACGTCGCCAAAACTCTAAGACGCTGCAGAAGAAGCAGCAGAAGAACATGTGGGTGCAGAACAGGAGGCCGGCGCCCTTGCGCGCGCGCGCCTCCGCCTCTTCCATTCCTATGGGTCCTACCAATCCGGTGGCGAGCACGTTGCCTCCGAGGGCGGCGAGCCTTGGGCCTCCCGTGGCCCCAAGGAGCGCAGCTGCGGGAAGCAACACGGACAACGACGATAACGACGTCGCGATGATCTGTTTTGGCGAGCGCCCCCGCGGCAACGCGAGGAGTGCGCCCGTGTCCCCTGTGGGGTCATCCGCCTCCGCCGCGCGCTCTCCGAGCCCTGACGTGCCCCTCTCAAGCACCGCGAACCTCCAAACCACTGCGGAAACTCCGGACGGCGCCGACACGGACCACGAGCACCTGCCACCCAGGACGCGCAAGAAGGTGGGCCGGCCGAAGAAGCGCAAGGTCGTGCCCAAGGACGACGGCGACACGCCCGAGCGCGAGTCGAAGCGGCGGAAGCCGCGGACGAGCATCAGCGCGGCGAAGGCGAGCCCGCCACCGTCGTCGTCGGGGGCGAAGCCGCCCGCGCCGGAGGCGCCGTACGGGCCCGTGTACACCTGCCGGTGGCCGCGGTGCGCGCACACGCTGCACCAGGCGGACCCGCGCGAGGCGAAGGCGCACATCCAGTCGCACATGAACGCGTACAAGGCGGAGCAGACGCGCGAGCACGCGCTCGTGCGCTGCCTGTGGGACGGGTGCGACCAGTGGGCGAAGGTGGAGAACCTCGGGCGGCATATTATTTTCGTGCATTTGAAGATGAACTATGAGTGCCCGCATTGCGGGAAGACGCTGGCGAGGAAGGATGCGCTGAAGAGGCATTGCCAGAGCCAGCACCCGCGTGAGATGGACCAGTGGCCGCATAATGGGCAGGATCCGGACGGGGGCGGGGATGCCATGATGGAGTGAGTGAGTGAGCAAGCAAGCAAGCAAGCAAGCAAGCAAAGGCAAGAAGTCATTAAGAAGTTCTGAAAGTTTATGCATGTCTTTCTTTTTGTTTCATATGTTGTATGTGTATGGCCCCATATGCATGTATTTCTGTTTCTCTGTATGTATGGTAGTCCCACCCAATGTCATTCCTTTGGTCTATGACACTATGGCTCAGCTGTTCAGGACTTGGCCATCACTCAAGTCACCATTGGACTTGCACTTGGAAGTTTGAAGATGGAGATTTACTTCTACACTCTTGAATGAACAGCCCCCCTAACATAAAGTATAGTCCATAGCCACAAACACTCCTCTTCCAGCCACATCTTACCCAGAACAACATGCCTATGACATCCACCAACAAACAATAATGTACACCCAACCCAACCCTAGAACAACCCCGCGAGATCCGCAAAGGGATCCTTGCCTTGTTGCTGTTGTTGTGGCTGTTGTGGTTGTTGTGGCTGCGTCGATGTCGACGTAGCACCCAAATTCAAAGTCGTAGCTGGCTGCGGTGGCCGCGGAGAAGCAGAAGCACTCCCCATAGCCATACCCACACCCGCCCCCACGCCCACGCCCATCCCGCCAAAGTAGCTCGGCGACCCGACGCGCTGCTGCGGCTGCATCTGCGGCGTCCCCGGGAGCACGATCGACCCGAACTGGCTCGGGTGCGCGAACCCGCCCGGGGGCGCCTGCTGTTGGTGCTGTTGCTGGGCCGATAGTATGCTCGCCAGGCTGTTCTGCGCCGGGGACGGCGCTGTCGGAACGTTTGCCGGCGGGCCGAAGAGCTCCGCCAATTCGTCTATCGTGTTTGCTGGTTGAGATTGAGATTGGGGGGCAGAGGAGGAGGAGGAGGAGGGCTCGTCAAAGTCGATGAGCGACGTCGGCGTGCCCGCGCCTGCGAGCTCGGCGGGGACGGAGGAGATGGAGTAGTCGCCCTTCTTGTAGGCTTCGTACCGGGCGAGGACGTTGTTGATTTGGTCGTTTATTTGAAGATACGTGTCTGGCGTTGATGAGGAAGTGGGGTGAGTGGGTGAGAATGAAGGGGAAGAGGGGTAGGCAACGGGAAGGGGCTCACCTAGCGATTCGGGGTCGTCCGTCTCCGCGTCCGATATCCACTTTTGTATTCTCGGGCGCGCGCCGACGAGGATCGACGCGACTTGCTGTGCCACGCCACACATGGTACATCAGCACTCGCAAACGCAAGAGCGGGGGGGCATCAGCTACGCACGTCGTACACGTCGCCCGCCACGAACTTCTCGCCGCGCTCGCGGTCGACGTTGTCGAGCATCTCGTTCATGAGGATGACCTTCTGCTCGAGCTTGTTGAGCTCGTTGAGCGCCTGGGAGCGGTAGTCGGGCCTGGCGTCCGGGTTCGCGCCGGCGAGGGCCTTCATGAGCTCCTGCGCGGCGGCGAGGTCGCGCGGTGTCCCTCTGCGGATGAGTTCTTGCAGCTTTGCCTGCTGCGCCTCGCGATCTTCTGCCTCCAGCTCCTCAGCGGACTTGATGTTCTACGGGAGCGTATTAGCGGTGCTCACGTGCACGCGATGGCTACTCACGGACGCGGACGCCAATGACTGGTTGTTATTCCGCGGGAGCTCGCGGAAGCGGTAGCCCTTGAACGTGAGCAGGCGGTGCATGTCCCTGATATTGCCCAGGTCCTCCTTCCAGCGCGAGGTCGCGCAGATGCCCTCCTTCCAGGCGTGGATGAGGTCGAGGATGCGCTGCATGACGGGTCCGGGAAAGGGCGGGGGGCGCTCGGGGAAGCGGCGGACGAGCTCGTTGAGGAACTCCTTGGTGCCGATCTGGAGGTGGAAGGGGTAGCCGCAGCTCTGGACGAGGGTGTCGAGGAGCGCGAGCGCGAGCATGCCGATGTGCGGGTTGCGGTGGTTGGCGAGGCGGGCGATGAGCATGGCGGCGTCGCGCGGACTTGGGTGGCGTTATTTGTTATTTACGGTCATGCTACGAGCGGGCGGAGGAGGGCGCGCACATACGTGTTTGCCTTCTTTTTGTTGATGTAGTCCGCGACTTCGAGGTGCAGCGCGTAGTTGGGCTCCGGCAGAGATGGGTCGCACGCGCGCGTAACCAGGCTTTCGAGCGGGCTGACTTGCAGCCAGGATGTTGGACTGCCGAGCATCGTGGACGACGACGAGCAGGACACGGCGGCGATGGCCAGCCAAGTGCTATCTTCAGCCACCGCGCGCAAATAGGACACGCGTCACGTGCATCTGGAGGTTTCATTGCTTCCCTCTGGACGACCATGTCGCTGCAGCCTCGGTGCTCTGTGGTTGTACTTGGGAAATCTGCGTGCCTCTATAATGCAGAGATTTACGCTGGATTTTCAAATGCTATCGTTGTTGCTACTTGACGGGTCTCAACAAATGGCATAACTAGTGGGCAATATCTGTACTCTCATTAGTGCTTGAACGCTGTCCATGTTTCTAAGATAATTGATGACGCTCTATACCGCCCGCCCTACCCCGCCATGGCCTGAGCCACTCCCGCCTCCCGAAAATTCCCATACCCGGTAATCCCAAAACCCCATCCTCAAGCAATCACGCCACCCGCGCGCGCTTTTGCCTTGTACGGACGTGCGACCAAGCGCCTCTCCCACTATAGCAATACGCCTCCCATATCAAGCAATTCTCGTGAGCCACCGCTTGATTGCCTGCACCTGCAAGCGCATTTTCGCCTTTGCAGGTAATTATCGTGAGCCACCGTTGGATTGCGTCCAGCGACAGGGTTTTTCGACAGGCCAAGCGCGCCCACAGAATCGCATAAATGGGAGGGGGGCGAGGGGGGGGACCCGCATCCCCCCACAGAGAAGCCTCCCGAGCGGTTCTGCCCCCTCCCGCCCTCCCCCTCTCGAATATTTGCATACGCCGCCTGAGTAGACATGCCGAAGGTACTTGCAGTGGCTGGGGCCTCGGTACGTCCTCCTTCCGTCCCCCTCCTTCTAGGGTACCCGGCTGACTCGGTGGAATAGTCCTCGCAGAGTGCGGGGAAGAAGCACCAGTGCGCCGAGTGTGATTATAGCACCGACCGTACATTCGATATGCGCCGCCACGCGGAGCTGCACCTCCCCGAGGACCAGCGACAGTACGTCTCCTTCCTCTCGCTCCCGTTCCTTCGACCAAGCGCTGACGGGTCGTGTGCAGCTATTACGAGTGCCCGAAGCCCGGGTGCGCCAAGCGGTTCCTGCAGAAGGGCAACCTCAAGATCCACCTCGCAGCGCAGTGCGTCCTGTCCCCCCCCTCGAACTCTTGACCCAGCTACTGACGCTCCTTTGGTTGTTATCTAGCGCGGGCGTGCCGACGCACTTCTGCGCGCAGTGCGACTTTGCGTGCACGGACCCGAGCGCGCTGCACAAGCACCGCAAGCGGCATGGGTCGGGCTCGGGTTCGAGGACGGTTGTTGCGAGGGGCAGGAAGAGCAGGGTGAGGAGGCACCCGAGCCCGGCGACGTCGGAGGAGTCGGGCCTGTGGTCCTCTATTGCTCCGTCCCCGGCCGCGTCGACGTCGACTTGTGCGGCGACTGTGGACGCGTTCTCGCCGCCTGCGCTGACGCTGCCCGAGACGGGCGGCTGTGCTGCTTCTCCTGCTGCTGATGTGGATGTGCTGTCGTGGCTGGACGACCAGAGCTTGGTGGCGACTCCGGGTTCTTCGCCGGCTTATTCGGGCGACTTTTCTCCGATGGTGGCTGTCCCTGAAGAGTCTTATGTCTCTCGAGATGCTTCTGGCTTCACTCCTCACTCTGGCTATCAGTCTCAGCCTCAACAGGCTTACGACGCTCAGTCCCAGCTCTCCTACGAGTTTCAGTCTCAGCTCTCCTATCAGTTTCAGGCTCAGGCTCAGCTCTGCTACGACTACGACCACACTCAACCCGTCTACACTCAACCCGTCTACTCTCAACCTGCCTACTCTTCTCAGCCTGCCTACCCCTCTCAACCCGCCTATCCCACCCAGCCTGCCGCTCCCTCCCCGGACTTCCTCGACTTTGACTGGAGCATGCCCGCGCCCGCCGCCGACTTTGACGGCGCTGCGATCTTCGTGGGAGACCTCGAGCTGGGGATGGGGACGCATATCCCTCCTGCGATGGATCTAGGCTCGGGGTTTGACTGGCCTGCGTCTGCGTCTGCGGCTTTTGGTTATTCGTTTTGAGCTTAGATCTCTCTCGTCTCTGTCTGTCTCTCGCTGAGGTGTTTGTGATACCCGCATACTGGACTCTGGACTCTACACTGGCATTTCGGACGCTCACTTGGATAGATTCGGCGTTGGTGCATCTTAGTTTATTTGTTTTTATACAATGTAGGATTAGACTTTCACTTCGACGTTTACTTCATTCCATTTCGCATTTGTATTATATGCATGCGCAAGCGCAAGGTCGTGTATAGATGGATATCATTGCAATCATACCGTTCTGTTCTCTCTTACATAGCGCCGTCGGTGGAACTGGGAGTGGGACAGAATGCTGATTTGATGCAAGTGCGCGCTACATGTAGCAACACCCACAACGCTCGTGTCTCACTCGCCCTCGCCCTCAGACCCGCTCCCAACCCCAACGTGTCCGAGCTCCCGCACGCCGGCCTGCTCTCCTCCCTCCCGGGGCTGGAGGCGTTAGGTCTGTTCGGACAGCATTCGTAGGAGTTTGCATACCAGCGGTACTCCTAGCCCAGCTCAGGCTCGACGACAGTGAATATCCAACCAAAGCCACACGTCCGTATTAGATCTAGAAGCGCTGTAACGCGCCAAGTCACGGACGCGTTCAAGTCTTTCCCCTGTCCTCTTCCTCGGACGCCACCTACATAGACGCGCCTCTGCCTCTCCACTGCGCCCTATTTATGACTTTGAGATGTCTGCAGCGGTAGCAGCACCAACACCAGCACCAGCAAAAGCCAATGGCAGGAACGCCCACGCGCGCGCCGTCCTCGGCCCTGAGCTTTCTGAGCGGCTGCCCGCGACGAAGGTCCTGCTCGTAGGGGCGGGGGGGATTGGCTGTGAACTCTGTACGTGGTTCCCAATTGCTTTGTGTTGGTCTGTGGATTTCGGGGGAAGAGACGGATAGCTTGGGCAGGGAGGGCTCGCAGAGGGCGCTTCATCCCGGCTGGATGTGCAGAATGGAGACAGCGGTCTGCGTGTTGTGAAAATGCCATTTTTTACCGTTTTTTTTATTAGTGCTCGCGTCCTAATCCCAGAGGACATCCTTGAGAGATGCTGTGGTCTATACTGATTCTCCTGCATATCGCCCGCTAGCCGCTGGCTTTTGCCTTCCCACCCATCTTTCCCTGATCCCCAACAATGCGAATCGACGCTGACCCAGTTATATTACAGTGAAGAACCTCGTACTGACCGGCTTCGGCCACATCACCCTGCTCGACCTCGACACCATCGACCTCTCCAACCTCAACCGCCAGTTCCTCTTCCGCAAAAAGGACGTCAAGAAGAGTAAAGCTTTGGTGCGTCCTCCTCTTCCCTCTTCCCCCGCCCTCCTCCCTGTTCCTTCCCTACCTCTTCCCCCCGTCTTCCTTCCCTTGCCCTCTTCCTTCCCCCTTCCCCCTTCCCTCGACATACTATCTACGACTAACGACGCAAACCAACCAGACCGCCGCGCAGACCGCGGGCCCGTTCAACCCCTCCGTGCGCATCCACCCGATCCACGGGAACATCAAGGACGCGCAGTTCGACATGGACTGGTTCGCCTCCTTCGACATCGTGCTCAACGCGCTCGACAACCTCGGTGCGTCTATTTGCACCACGCCTTCCTAATGCTGAGACACCGAGCGGTACTTAGACGCGCGGCGACACGTGAACAAGATGTGCATGGCGACGGGCGTGCCGCTCGTCGAGAGCGGGACCGCGGGGTACCTCGGGCAGGTGCAGCCGCTGCTCAAGGTGCGTGTGCGCAAATACCCTTTAGGGGAGGTGGGGGAGCTGATGGGATGCGGGAAACACGCAGGACCGCACGGAGTGTTTTGATTGCATACCGAAGCCGACGCCGAAGACGTTCCCCGTGTGCACGATCCGCTCGACGCCGTCGCAGCCGATCCACTGCATCGTGTGGGCGAAGAGCTATCTGCTTGGGTGCGCGCGCTCGCTGCTGCTGCTCTCTGCTCTTGTGACGTCCTCATGGGTTTGGCGGCTGGTGTTCGCGATGTGGCGCACAGGCAGCTGTTCGGCGAGGACGAAGACGCGGGCGGGGAGCTCGACGAGGCGGAGAAGCAAGGCGAGAACGGTGAGCTCCCACCCCACCCCGCCTACCCCGCGCACGCGGCTGATGGACGTGGCGTGGACGAAGCGCAGGAAATCGCGACGCTCCGGAGAGAAGCACAGGCGTTCAGAGCCGTGCGCGGCGCCCTGCGCGCGCGGGCCGAGTCCGCGCACGCGGCGAAGATGGCGTTCGAGAAGGTCTGTGCGTCCCGCACACGGACACGGATGGGCTGACGGGGGCGTGTAGGTGTTCGGCGCGGATATCAGGAACCTGCTGTCGATGGCGGACATGTGGCGCGCGCGCGAGCCGCCGGTGCCGCTCGAGTTTGAGGCGATTAGGGAGGGGGGGTTCGTGCTGCGCGGGGTGCCCGCTGCGTCGGCGCCGGCGGATGGCGCGCGGCCGTCGAGGGAGCCTGCTGCGAATGGCGCGTCGGCGAATGGGCATGCCAGCCAGGCGGGGCTGAAGGACCAGCGCGCGCTGACGTTGCAGGAGAACCTGGCGCTGTTCGTCTCCAGGTGCGTTTGCTCTCGCGTGGGAGGGGAGGAGAAGGGGGTGCGATGCTGATGTGGGTGTTGATGTAGTACGGAGCGCCTGGCGGCGCGGCTGCGCGCGGGGGAGGAGACGATCGCGTTCGACAAGGATGACGATGATACGCTGGACTTCGTGACGGCTGCTGCGAACCTGCGCGCGGCGGCGTATAACATCCCGGGGAAGAGCCGGTGGGAGGTCAAGGGTGCGTCCGTCTGTCCCCTCCCCTCCCGTCCCCTCTGCGGCACTGACGGTATGCCGCTGGCCGCTGTAGAGATGGCGGGGAACATCATACCCGCGATCGCCACCACCAACGCGGTCGTCGCGGGCTTAATCGTGCTGCAGGCGCTGCAGTTGTTGAAGAAGGCGTATAACCGCCTGCGGAATGTGCATCTGCAGTTCAAGCCGAACATGCCGATCAGCACGGTGATGATCAGCCCGCCCAACGCGGGGTGCGGGGTCTGTCGCAGCGTGTACACGCGCGTGCAGTGCGATACCGCGAGGGTGACGCTCGGGGAGGTGGTGGGCGGGATCCTCGGGGCGGGCGAGGGGGAGGGGGCGGGCAGGGAGGTGAGCGTGTATGAGGATAAGCGCGTGCTGAGCGATCCGGAGTGGGGGGATAATGATGGGCGGACGCTGGAGAGCCTGGGCGTGACCCGGGGCAAGTTCCTCGCCATTGTGGATGAGGAGGGGGAGTATGCGACGGTGGAAGTGGGGATTTGTAATTTGCCGTGCGTGTCTTGTCCTCGTTAGCATCGGAGAGGCTAGGCTGAGTTCGTGCGGCTTTGGTTTTGTTGTAGGCCCAACCATACGGGCGGCCCGCTCATACTCCCGTCGCCGCTGCCCGCGCCCCCGCGGAAGGTGAAGGTGGCCGCGCCGCCGCCGTCGACGCCGCCGCCGAAGAAGCGGCCCGCGCCGGTGGACGACGACGTCGTGGAGATGGAGCCCGCTGCGAAGCGCGCGAAGACGAACGGGAACGGCGCAGCGGACACCAAGCTCAATCCGAATTTGTACACGCCGAGCAAGAAGAGGCGGCTGGACGAGGACGGGCTGGTGATGCTGGATTCGGCGAATGAGAAGGTGGAGGATGATGATGTGATTGAGATTGATTGATTGAGATTGAGTGTTTTGACTTTTTTTCTTACTTTGTGGTGCTGTCGATCGTTCTAATTTATGATGAGCTTATGTTGCAAGTTAATACATGTTTAGAATGCTTTGTTGCGTGTTGGGGCTGGTGTGAAGGGCATGGTTTGCTGGGGTTTGGATTCGGACCGACAGCGACGTCATCTCATGCCTCTCGTCTTGCCAATGTGCGGCTGACATTTGCATATTTCCCTTGAAGTCAGCCGCAGGTCCCAACATGAACGACCGTTGGCTGACCCCTCCTGCATCATCCAGAGCATTTAAGGCGAGGTATTCACCCTTCCTGTCCTTACTCCTGTCCCCCATTCCAACAGACCGTTCTCGGTCTTCCACACTCCTTTAGCAAAACTCACCTCGTCGCTCCTTAGCTATGGTCGCCTGCAAGAGGTTGAACAGGTTGATCGTGATCGTTCTCTCCTGGGTTGCGTTGTCTTCCGCTGCTCCATCGGTGGAACAGGATGCCTTGCCGAAGATGGTGTTCGCCCACTTCATCGTCGGCAATACACGTCCCTATAATGTCGGGGACTGGGCTAGAGGTCAGTATTTGAGTCGTCCTTGAATGACCCGCTTAGTATTCATGACTGACCTTTATCGCTAGATATCGCCCTTGCTTCTTCGAAAGGGATTGATGCCTTTGCGCTCAACGTCGGCCGCGACGACTACGAGGCGTCCAGAGTGGCGGACGCGTACGCCGCCGCCAGTGGCACCAACTTCAAGCTGTTCATGTCCTTCGATATGACGTCCTTGCCCTGCGGCGGAGGTGGGGACGCGGGGCCCCTTCGCGATTATATCAACCGGTACGCGGCCCACCCCAGCCAGCTGCGGTTCGACGGCAAGATCCTCGTTTCCACGTTCGGCGGGGAATATTGTTCGTTTGGTACAGGAAGTCTCAACCAGGGATGGCAGAACGCCATCAAGAACGGGATGCCGCCTGTACATTTCGTTCCGGCCTTCTTCCTTGATCCATCGTCGTTCGGTGGATATCCGGTAATGGATGGTGCATTCAATGTGAGTGTATGGCATTAACTACCGGTGGCTCTTGTTCATTCCTGTCGCACAGTGGAATTCAGCCTGGCCGCAGGGAAATTACGACACGAATTTCGACTCTGACAACAATCACATTTCTCATCTGGGAGGACGGTCGTACATGGCAGCATTCTCTCCTTGGTTCTTCACTGTACGTCGCCCGAAGCTTCATGATGTCTCCTTTCTCAAACGCATCATATTTCAGCATTATGGCCCAGACACCTACAACAAGAACTTTATATTCCGCACTGACGACTGGCACTTTGTAAAGCGCTGGGAGAACCTCGTAGAGCATCGCTCTTCGGTGGCTTTTGTTGAAGCGCTGACGTGGAATGACTTTGGAGAGTCGCACTATCTCGGTCCTTTACACGGTGACTTGTCGAGGTCTGACGATTGGACGGCCGGCTATGACCATCAAGGTAGCGAAGTTTGAAACTCTGGCATTCACTTACGCTTATTGCTCGTATATTAGGCTGGCTCGACCTGCTCCAATACTATATCCAGGCCTACAAGACGGGCGTGTACCCGTCGGTGTCCCAGGACAGGATCTTCCTTTGGTCAAGGCTATCTCCCGCCGGGGCCAATGCCCCCGACAGAGTCGGAAAGCCCGATCACTGGCAATGGGTCAGTTCAGCCACTCAATGGCTGGCGCTCCTCTGACACTTCCTCATAAGACTCAAGACAACCTCTGGGCTGTCGTTTTTCTGACGACGCCTGCCGAAGTGCAACTTGCTTGTGGTGCATATATCCAATCGACGACTCTTCCAGCCGGTGTAGGCAAGGCACAACTTCCCCTACAGCAAGATTGTAGCGTGACGGCTACCATCCTTCGCGGGGGGGTCAGCACGCTTCACTTTGCTCCCAAGGGTTTCGACTTCCGTACCAACCCGAGGAATTACAACTTCAATGCGTATGTTGCGGCCAGTTGAGTGGCTGTTAGTTACGGGGCCGTCTAGCATTAGTACGGGTTTGCGTGTGTGGTTTCTCTGTATTTTTTTTTCTAATGAAGGTCAACGTCTATCGACTGCTTCGCCAACTTGAGCAACTGATGCCCCAGTGGGCCGGCGCTACCGGACTAACCAAAGGAATTACTATGTCGGAGTCTGCCGAGTTCATCGATGTCGGAGCCTTTCTGGGGACACAGGAAAGCAATAGCATCTGTGGGCTGCTGTCGGTGGTCTTCACTCAGGTCTCGAGCATATCTATCCTGCCAGTTACTCATAGGTTCGACGCAGTCTAAACTGCTCGGGCACTAAGACTAACTTGTGGTATTATTTTCGCTCAGGTTTCTATTATTACGTCCGTAGTACCATACTGGCATATTTAGAACCCAAGACAACCGTTCACTGACCTCGTCCTTCAGATGGCACGTCTGCCTGACATGAACTATGATGTTCTGCTGGACATCATGACCTTCCTCCCTCCGCAGGACTTGCGGCGATTGGCAGTGACATCCAAAGTGCTTCATGAGCCGTCTTCTTTGAGTATGGTGGAACAAGTCGAGCTCTACCGGCCATCCCAAGTCCAATCCTTCCACTCGTTTGTCATCCAAGATCCTACCAGACTGTCGCTGATGCGCTCCTTAAAGTTCTCACCCAATGCGAAGTCTCTGCTTGACGACGACGCGCATGGTTGGAGTACCGGGACGGACGAAATTCGGAGCTCGGGCCCTCTGCTGGCAGATATCCTCGAGCGAGCTCCCCATCTCCGGGTGCTGGAGCTGTGGTACACGGACATACTCTTCTGCATACCCCGCCTTCGGCAAGCTATCAAGAACAACTGCCCCAAACTCCTGACGCTCAAGATTTCTCAATTTAATACATGGAAGATGTCCCCGAGGGACATACAGGATCTAAGGCCCTTGTTCGACTCATTAAAGCACCGGGTCACTCGGCTCGAGGTCAAATCCATATTCGAGCGACCTGTCCAGGAAGTCCTGAGAACTTTGGACAGTCGACTCGAGACTCTAGCGGTTGCGCTCGTTTCCGGAGACCCGAGTATTCTGCGAAATGGATCGATGTTTCCCCACGTGAAGAACCTTTCCATATCAGGGTATAGACTGCTGAGGGAAGATATCTCTCGAGTGTTTCCAAACGTTCGCCAACTCGAGATATGCGAGGACTTCTTGATCAACGAATCTTTATGCGACTCCCTACAGGAGACGACTGAGTGGGCAGCACTGGAGACGTTGTCTGGCGATCTGCGCGACGTAGCAAGGATAGGGCTCACGCGGCGCGTAAAGCATCTTAACCTTGACACTTATGCCTTTCACTCTGCTTCGGTGCCTGCAGAGCTGACCCTCTCCTTCTTTTCGACCACTCGACCGCGGTCCCTGTCGCTTACTATTCACTCGGATAAGCCGAAGATCCTTGCTATTTTGATGAAACCAATCTTGTGGGATTCACTATCTGAGTTGTCCTACATGAATCTCATCATCAAGGATCTTACCGAATGGGCTGGGGCGGTTCACAGATGCTTGGTGAGTAAGCTGGTTAAGGGCCTGAGTGTTCTGAGAGTATTGATTAGCCCCTTATTCCAGACATGTACGACCGAGAATCTCAAAAATCGGAGCGTCGAATATTTACGCGTTTCCATCTACCTGCGGGAACGGAGTCGACTGTTTGACCAACTACGGACACCGAGTCACTCTGTCTCCGTCCATAAGATCGCGAAAAAAGTACCCTCTTTGCGATTCATTGAATTAGATTTCCATTGGTTGGCGGGGAGTCGCATTGGATTTGAAGGTATGACCACGTTCTACAGAGTCCGTAGAGCACCGGAAGGAGGTACGACTATTCAATCTGTATATTCCATCTTTGACATCTCATCGAGATTCAGGAAGCTCTCTGGAAAGCATCAACCCCGACTTCGCGAATGAATATAGAAGAAATTACACCACACCAGAGTACGATCTTCTTCTGTCACTTCTTTATATCTGTGTATCAATGAGTCCTGGATGTGCAGGAAACCCAATTACATCATGAAGTCAAGAAGCCGTCAGATCGTTTGACGAGGAACTTGAAGATTGTGGTCTCTCTCGAGGATCGTTGTGTCCTGTTGTACCATGTAAGGATAGATTCCTAACCGTGCTTTATGTATATTGTGATGGCTATCTCTTGGAATATGTAACCTTTGTGCTCATGTATAATCGGTGTACTTACAATGTGTAACACTTGCTGCAATCATGTCACTCCAATTCTATGTCACTCCAATTCTATGTCACTCCAATTCTATGTCACTCCAATTCTACACTGACAATATAGCTCTGGAGGCCTTCCGATGCTGAAACTGTACCAACTGCAGCCCTACGCCGTAGATCAACCAATATTGGCATACCGAGAGCTGCCCTACCCTCCTGCGCGTTCCTGTGGCAATATTGTGGCTGCTGAGACACCAACGTGACTAGAACGCGACGGGTCACGCGTGACATCACGCTTCCGACGCGTCCGACTTCGACGCTCACCAGCAGGCTGTGCCGCACGCTGCGCTTGTACGCCATTGCGGGTTGACTCTACTGCCATTTGAGACTTCCTAAGAAGCTTCAAGGATACAACAATGTCGCGCAAGCCCAGCTCAACAGCAAAGGTCACCAAGAAAAAGCGAGCGAATGTGCTATCTGCGTCTACTCTACAGCTGCTGGATGATGAGCCACTGCCAACGCCGCCACTGAAGAAGTTCAAACCGTTGGCTCAGGTTGGTCTCTGTGGAATGTGTGGTATGGGTGTATTGACCAAGTGAAGGCACCGAAGCTGGAATTATCTGCAAAAGATGCTGCACCGGAGCCTGCGAAGAGGAAAGGGAAGGGGAAGGAGAGAGCGGTGACTCTGGTGGAGGATGATCTAAGCCTTGGTATGCGTTTTGTGTGTGAGCTATCTTCCTTTCTAACGGTTGTACAGTGGAGGATAAGCTATGGCTTGAGATGTATGAACCCACGTCGGAGGTGAGTCGCGAAAGTTAGGGATATGCCTTTGGCTGACGTTGCAAGCGCTAGGCAGACCTGGCTGTACACAAGAAAAAGGTCGAAGATGTCCGGCAGTGGTTAGCAGAAGCGTTTGAAGGAGGACCGTCGGGAAAGCTCCGCAAGTATAGGGTACTATATACCTCTTCAACTGCCTTCGTGCATGCTCATCTCTCGTTCCATGCCAACAGCGTCTTCTTGTCCTCAGCGGTCCTGCCGGTGCAGCCAAGACGGCTACGATGCGGGTACTCTCGAGGGAGATCGGGTTCGAGATACTGGAATGGCAGAATGCCGTCTCAGAAGGCCTGCCATCCAAAGGAGAGCCAGGTGTGTCGACACGCATCGTCGCTGTACTACCATCTTACCGACATTTATAAAAACTAGACAGCTTCGCAGATTACGAAGGCGCAATGGACAAATTCCAAGCCTTCGCCGCGCGCGCCTCCTCCTGCCGGCCCGTCTTCTCCAGCGCCCCCTCTCAGTCATCCCAAAGCAACCTCTCTTCCTCTAAGCACCAACTCATCCTCCTAGAAGACCTCCCGAACGTCGCGCACGCACAGACGCAGGAGCGCTTCCACGCGATCCTGGAGGGGCTTGTGCACTCGCCGAGCCTCATCCCGGTGGTGGTGGTCGTGAGCGACGCGGGCGAGCGCGGGGAGAGCGGGGAGGACGTCGGCTTCGCGAGCGGGCCGAGTCGAAGGGAGGCGGTGGGCGTGCGCAGCGTCGTGCCCCCGGGGCTGCTCAGGTCGCCGTATGCGACGGAGATCAAGTACGCTTGCTCGTATTCCTTCCAGCGGTTGATTGGGGGACTGACGTTTTATGTCTATGTACCCAGGTTCAACGCCATCTCCGCGACGCTCATGCGCAAAGCCCTGCAATCGCTGCTCTCCCGCCACTTCTCCAGGGCCGCCGGCGCGCCGCCGTCGAAGGACGTCGTCGACCTCGTCGTCGACACCGCGAACGGGGACATCCGCAGCGCGATCATGTCCCTCCAGTTCGCGTGCACCCCCAGCAAGGGGAAGAAGAAGGCGGCGGTCCCGCGCGGGCTGCTGGAGGTGGTCAGCCGGCGCGAGCAGAGCCTCGCGATGTTCCATTTGCTGGGGAAGGTGCTGTATAATAAGCGTGAGTGGCTGGTGTCCGGGTGGAGGGTGATTGTGAGGCGGATGGCTGAATGCGTTGTGTGTAGGGAAGGGAGACCCCCCGGCGCCGTCAGCGAGCAAGAGGGATATAGAGAGGGATAGGGAGTTTGATGCGAGGCTGCGGGACCCGCCGCCGTTGCCGGAGCACCTGCGGGAGCACCACCGGCGGACGAGCCGCGTGGACGTCGAGGTGCGCGTCCCTCCTCCCTCGGCCCGCTGGCTTTACGCTGAAATCTGATGTGACGTTGTTCTGGAATGTGACGCTGACGCGCACAGGCGCTGTACGCGGATTCGCCGATCGACGCGTCGCTGCTCGCGCTGTACGTGCACCAGAACTATGCGCAGTTCTGCAATGGGGTGGAGGAGGCGGAGGGCGTGTGCGAGGCGCTGAGCTGGGTGGACTGCGGCGGGGGCGAGCAGGTGCGTGTTCCTCCCCAACTTCATTCCCTCCATGCCGTCCTTGCTCCCTTCTCTTCCTTTACTTTACACGTCACATCGCTGTGATCGAAAGTGACGCTGACGCGCCCGCGCAGTGGTACCAGACGAACCCGAACGGCTTCCAGCTGCTGGCGCGGGGGACGCTGCACGCGCTGCCGACGCCGGTGCCGCGGCGCGCGGGGCAGGGGCTGTACAAGCCCGAGTTCTTCGAGTGCGGGAGACGCGCGCGGGAGGGCGCGGGCGCGGTGGAGGACGTGCTGGGGTGGTTGGGGGAGGTGCGTGTGGTTTTCTTTGCGGGAGGGGGTCGGCTTTGGGTGTGGGTGTGGGCAGGGCTGATTGGTGATTGGTGATTAGGAAGCCCACAGGTGGCGGCGGGAGGAGGTCGTGATGGAGCTCGGCGGGGTGCTCAGAGCCCGGGCGAGTCTGCACACGTCGGGTACGCGTCTCCCGGCCCCTTCTCCCGTGTCCGCTCATACTCACCTCGCCCCCTTGCACGCAGGCCCTCACGTCCCCCCGCGGACGCACAGACTGTTCTCCGCGCTTGGGGAGGAGGTGAAGGCGCGGGCGGAGCTGTGCGAGGACGAGGTGCCTGAGCCTGAGGAGTGGGGAGGGGAGGGTGGGCGGCGGGGAGGGGCGGATGAGGGGCAGGGGAAGGGGGGGTGGTTGGAGGAGGATGATATCGAGGAGTAGGCGTGTGGGTGGGGTGTTGTTTGGTGCTTGAATGATTTATAGTATTATATTGTCTGTGCTTGGGATCAACACTGGGTTCGCCCCACCGCGCTTCGCTTCGCTCACCCAGGCTGATTATCGCGATTCCCACGCGTGGAGGCTAATCTCGATCGCATTCGTCATCCTCGCGAAAGCTCGGGAATAGAGGTGGTGTGTAATCTCTCTCTTGTGGGTATTTATCGACTTGGCTGGCTGCCTTTGCTCTCGCTGCCTCGCTTGGGAGCACTTTACACTGCAAGACTCATACGGCATCAACCAGAATGCTCGCCCCGCCGCTGAACCTGCCCAAATGGCTGGCGGAGAACGGCCACCTGCTGAAGCCGCCGGTGAACAACTATTGCATCTACGCGGGCAAGGACCATATAGTGATGGCGGTGGGCGGCCCGAACGAGCGGAATGATTATCATGTTAACGAGACCGAGGTGCGTTTGGCTGCGGGGAGGGATGGTTGGATAGGGCTGACGGAAATGCAGGAATGGTTCTACCAGTACAAAGGCGGGATGCTCCTGCGCGTGGTGGACGGGGACGAGTTCAAGGACATACGGATCGGGGAGGGGGAGATGTTCTTGCTGCCCGGTGCGTGCTGTGCGTCGCGCCCCGCGTGGCGGCCAGAACCGAGCGACTCATCGTCGGCGCGACGCAGCGAACACGCCGCACAACCCGGTGCGCTTCGCGGACACGGTGGGCATCGTGGTCGAGCGCGTGCGGCCCGCGGACGCCGTCGGTGCGCGCATCCCATCCCGCCTCGGCCTGTGTCGTTGGATGCTGACGTCGCTGCTGTGACCAGACCGCCTGCGGTGGTACTGCCGGGCGGGGCAGCACCGCACGCCGACGATCATCCGCGAGGAGGCGCTGCACGTCACGGACCTGGGGACGCAGCTGAAGCCGCTGATCCAGCGCTGGCAGGCCGACGCCGAGTACAGGCGCTGTGCGCAGTGCGGGGCCGTCGCCGAGCCCAAGTAATTTGTGTATGTTTATTTTATGTATCGCTACGCTATGGATTGGGCGATAAGCGTAGCTGTGGCTGTTCATTACATCGTGTCTGCCGGCGCCCGATGCAGCTCGGGTCCGACGCCTCCTTCGATGGTACTGGCTGTCATCCGGACGGGGAATTGCAGCCCGAGCCAGTGCATGTACCCTACCTAAGCGAGCCCAGCCCTATCTTTAGCACCTTCGACGCGAGAAGGGCGTCCGCTAGCATCATATACCCACCCGCCGTGCCTGGCACACTACTTGACAGCATGTCATTACCCGCTCGTATATAAGCCCCCGCCCTGCCAGACCGCCCCCCCCCAGCTCGCACTCCATCCACCATGAGCAACTACGACAACGACAACAGCTACGGCTCTGGCAACCAGGGCGCCGGGTACGGCGGTGGGAACAACAGCGACTCGTATGGGTCGTCCAACCAGTCCGGTGGGAACAGCGACTCGTACGGCTCGTCCGGCCGTGGCGGGAACGACTCGTACAACCAGTCCGGTGGGAACAGCGACTCGTACGGTCGCGGAGGCAACGACTCGTACGGGTCGGGCAACAACAACAACAACAGCGATTCGTACGGCTCTTCCAACCAGTCCGGCGGCGGGCTTGGTGGAAACAGCGACAACTACGGCTCCTCCGACCGTGGGGGCAACGACTCGTACGGCTCGGGCAACAACAACAACAGTGATTCCTACGGCTCGTCCAACCAGTCCGGCGGCGGCTACGGCGGGAACAACAACACCGACTCGTACGGCTCGTCCAACCGGAGCAGCGGCGGGCTCGGTGGGGACAACAACAACACCGACTCGTACGGCTCGTCCAACCAGTCCGGCGGCGGGCTCGGCGGGGGCAACAACAGCAACAACACCGACTCGTACGGCAGCGGGAACAACTCGTCCAGCACCCAAAGCCAGGGTCAGGGTCAGGGTCAGGGTCAGAGCGGGAACTGGATCGACAAGGGCGTCGCGATGGCCGCGCAGAAGGCCGGGTATAACCTCGTGAGTGCCTGGGTCATGTTGTGCCGTGTCAAGAGGCGTGGATGCTGAAGCGCGAGAGTAGGACCAGAGCACGACGGAGAAGATCGCGGACGGGCTGCAGGAGGGCCTGGGGAAGTTTACCGGTGAGTGGTTGTTTCAGGTTTGCGAGCCCGAGGGACGGGTGTTGATGAGTTTGGTCAGGCAAGAAGTGGTGAATGCGTCTTGCAGTTGTGGGGAACGAAACGGAGTAGGCACGGACCTGGTGATGGATACGGGATGTGAAGAAGAAGTCGGGTTATCTGTACGTTAGGGCACATTCGGAGTTCTTGGTGTACGGGTCTGTGTGATTGAGGCATATCCAAGATTTGCACAAGTCGGAACCACGCTTGCCTTTCCAGCAAGAGTCTGCACGTCATCTGAGGGAGGGACTGCAGACGGACGCCTTTGGCGAGTGATGTTTGCAGTAAGTCGGGGGCGGTGGCGGTGAGAACAGCGGATCTACTGTTCCGTTCGGCGAACGTTCACCGAACACCGGGATTTCCTGGCGCCCTACTACTGTAGTACCGACATACATAGGTGCTCCGGTGTTCTACAGCCATTTGCAGATCAATGGGCCCACTTTTTGAGAATCATTTACAGTCGGGCCATGTCGGACAAGCAATTTCAAGTCCTCGAGAGACAGAAATCAGACCATCTGGACTTCTCTACCTTCTTCCGATGTCCCTGGCACCCACTCCGACCCACTCCGACTATATGTGGTTTTCTGAATTGATGGTCTATCGATCTGCAAACGGCTGTAATAGCCCACCTTGAAACCACGGTAGCCTGCCTCGGAAATTGGCCTGTAGGGCGGCCTATGCTCCAACAGAGCAGTAGCTACCTTAGAAGTTAGGTAGCTTACCTAGAAGTTACGGTACTAGTAGTCTACTTCCTGAATTTCATGGTAATACAGTCCCAGCCACCCCCATATAAAATGGGCACTCACAGGGCCCCTTGCTAGCCCGGCCGCCCATCCCGTGATGAAGTACGTGAGAGAAGGATTTGGTCCTCATGCTCACCGATTAAGGGGTCCTGCCAAGACTGCTATTGGTTGCATTATCGTGCTGCTAGTGCCAGCCATGAAAATGTGGCAATGTGGTCCACAACCCCTCAATTATTATACAGTTAATGAGAATTCCACCCCGGGGGGCAGGAAAGCTCTGTGCCAGAGCTGGTCCTCGAATACACCGAGGATGTGGCCAGCTGCATCCCCACCCCAGAACACCGGTACCATAGATCAGCCCTCAACAACGCCCCGGCAGTACCACACACTTATAGTGTCAATGATTCACCACCACTTGGGAGACCGAATACATTCGTATTTTTAATCTCCTTTCTGCAACCCTTCTGTCTAAACTAGGTTGGTACATCTGCTCGGCACTATGTTATGACCCTCATGTAAATTTCTTAGGTCGAGAGGGCCAGTTGTCGTGGCATAAGAGGTGCGATACATGTCATGAGACAGCCTGCTGCCTGCGCATGCATCACGCAAAAGGACCACTTGGGACACTCCCACGCTTAGTACGCCAGTAACAAATCAGTAGTCCCGGGTAATTACGATGGGACACACTGCTGCCTGTTTGACACCATGGATGATGTCCAGTAGGCTCACTGCAACAGCGAGCTCTCGGGATATTACCATTAGGTAGGCCATACCCCAGTATATGTGATGGGACATGGTAGGCACCTCCCAACAAGTAAATTAGCACCACCAAAGGGCCGGATAAAGTTGGAGAGCCCAAACCAGCCACCAAGATGGCTTGCACACTTTAATACTCAACCTGGCCCCTTCGAACTTGGTGAGGACATAGGACATGTGTATATATGGGTTCACAACAAGTTTTATGGTAGATAGTGTAGAACTGAGATACTTTTACTAGAGAGTGTCCCGTCTGGTGGTGGCGTCCCAAGCGGTGGCGAATCACTGTAAGTTGTAAGGGTGGCCGAACAAAAATGCATATGCGGGAGGCAGGTATCTCATTTTGTATGGTAGCCACATGCATTTGTCTGAAGTCTGCAGCGAAAAGCAGGAGATGTTCAGCGACCGTTCGCGGAACGGCGAATAGCCCCGGTTATCTGGTGGCGGTGGCGATGGCGCCAGCAAACCTGATTTGTGCGTGTTTGGCACTGCGATGTGGCGTCGGCTGGAAGCCGCAGACCGCGAACACTGCGGGCAGAGACCGATATCCCGCAGCGACTCTCAAGCTCCACAGTCGAAAGCGATATTGATACGGGGCACATGGGCTAGCATCGGGTAGAGGGGCTTACATGACATAAATGAGGATACATGGGGTGCAGATATTTATCGCGGGATACATGATCTGAGGAAAGCTACATAAGTTGGGCTTGGAAGAAGAGTCGATGCTCGCACTTTGCACCACTCATTCCGAATCCGCCTCCGAGGGGGCCTCGGAGCTCTCGGGATCCTCCCTTACAACAGGTACCACCCACTCCCACTCCAGCGAGTGTGTCCCCCGCGTCCGCTTCTTCGCTGTTTGCAGCGCCGCGAACTCCTCGGGGTGCATCTGCTTCATATGCCTGTCCAGAGAATCCCCCCGGCTGAACGGCCCGCCACACACTGCGCAAGGCAGGGGCCCGTGCGCGTGCGCCCAGACGTGCCGGAGGAGGTTCCCGAGCTTCGCGGTCTGCCGGCAGGCGGGCCATCTGCAGCGCGCGTGCTCGTGTTGCTGGTGTCCAAGGACCGGCGCGAAGGACATGCCGTGCGTCGCGTGCAAGTGCGCGGTGAGGTTCGCGGGGCGCGCGACGTAGATGATGCGTTTGCAGTTGTGCCAGGCGCAGGTGGCGTACGGGAACTCGACTTTGGCGGGGAAGGAGGACGGGCGGACGCCGAGTACGGGGACGTCTGGGGAGCATGGATGGATGAGGTGTGGTGTGCGTGTTGGGAGGGAGGGCTTACTGTGATTATTTTTTGCCTTGACCAGCTTCCAGCCGGAGGATTCGGTTGGAGGATCGGACGTGGTCTGCGCCGAGTCTGAAGGGGGTGGGCCGGATTCACTGGGGGTTCTTGCATCGACGTCGGCTTGGTATCCTTCCTCGCAGTCTAACCCGTCGATCCCGCTTTCTCCAACGTCGGCATCGCTCTCGCTGACGTCTTTGTGCTTCTCTCCATCACCCACCACCTCGCTCTCTCCGACATCGGTCTCGCTCTCAGGGACACCCACCTTGCTTTCTTCATTATCGCGCTCCTCCAATGATTCATGCACATTGCGTTCGAACACACCAGAGGGAAGGCGAGCCTCGGTGAGGATTTCTGGCACTTCGGAGTCTCGGTGAGGTGCCACCTCGAACTCGGACACGTCCTGCACATAGGCATCCCTATCGGTGATACATCATATTCAGTATCGACTTCGAAATTGAGCAATCAATGGACAGCCAGTAATTATACCTGTTACACGCAAACACCAGCACGTTCAGGCCGGCTATGGAAATTACACGTGTTGGCCTGACATTGGGATCGGGGTGTCCTGCGGTGGCCGACATACACGTAGATGCTTCGAGCGAATAAGAAGACAATGAAATTAATGCCAAACGAAGGATATAGGGGGCATTTATGTATTCACAGGTGCCACATTAGCTGTGCTGCGTGTCTTCCTATGTGCCACATTAGCTGTGCTGCACGTCTTCCTATGTACCACATTGTGGCACGACGTGCCACCGAGTGTTGCACAAAGACTAGTTATTACCTGCAGTTTGGCACAGTAAAGAATTAAAGTATGCCCATTTCCGTAGTTCCTTGATTCCCAGCCTTGAACGTCGCAGGCTTCACGTTGAACTAGAGCCAAGCCCTGAGGGTTTAAGGTGCAAAAGTACAGCGCTTGAGAGACGGTTTCTATGTCAGTGTTCAAGCATCAAGTTGCGGAGCGATTGGATGTAGTTAACTCGGAGGTTCGGGTTCAGTGACAGAAACGGGTGGCGGTGGCGATGCCTGCACGCTTTGCTTGTGCATGCTTGGTCGGTGTGCTGTGGCACCACCTCTAAGCCACAGACCACGAATGCACGCCATATTGATGCTGTTTGTCTTGCGAGCCTAGCACCTGCAAGGTTCTGAGAGAGTATGTGAGTAGCACAGCTAGAGTGTTTGAAGATGGTAGACTACGAGTGTAGACTATGAGTACATGGCATAGATGAAAACACAAGGACACATGCTGACATACTTGCTATGGAAAGCTACGATACATAGAGTTGGAATACACAGAAAGACAGAAGAGGTGGAGCATAGGAGGGATTAAAGAGATGCACAGAAGAGATAAGCAGTATGCCCGGTATGAACAGAGGAACCCACGCAACTCGTATATTGCAGTTTACATCACTCAGGTTGAATCCGCTTTTGAGAGGTGCAACAGGCCTTTCACAATGTTTCCCTGGAATAGACAACTAAGACTGCTTCCTTGCAGCACGCATCTTGGCACGCTTTATCTCAGGATACTCCATCGGATGCTGCGACTTGATATGCCGGTTCAGTGCGTCCTCCCGACTCAGCTTCTTCCCGCACCCCGGCGCAGGGCAAGGAAGAGGCCCCTGCACGTGAACCCATACGTGCCAGAGCAGACCTGTTACCTTTGCATGCGAGGTGCAGTTGGTCCACTTGCACGGAAGCGGGGCGTCCGAGTCCGCAGAGCCTGTAAAGCTTATGCCGTGTGCTCCTCTGAGGTGGGCGGCAAGGTTGGCGGCGTGCGCGGCGTAGATGATTCTTCCGCAGCCGGACCAATCGCAGCGCGCGTACGGAAATGTGGCTTCTCCAGGGAATGAGGAGGCGGCCACACCGGATACGGCGACGTCTGTGCAGTAGTCTGGTGTTAGGGAGTGCCATGCGCAGGGTAAGCAGCAACGTACGGTGTATGTTCCCCTCGCTAGTAATCGGTTGCATGGGTTGGCTTTCCTCGACGGTGGCTTGATATCTTCTCTCGGCGTCTGCTGGGTCTATCTCGCTTTCTCCAACGTCGTCAACCTCACTCGACCAGACGTCCATCTCTGTATCTCCAACGTCCATCTCACTCGCAGGAACGTCCACCTCGCTTTCGCCATCATCACACGTCGCGCTCACGGAGGCGTCACGCACCTGGGGTGCAAAGACACCGGCTGTATTGACTGACGCAAGGTGAGCCTCAGTGAGGAGTGTTACTCCGGGGTCCGAATTTTCGCGGTATGGCACCTCAAATTCAGACACGTCCCGCGAATAGCCGTCCCTACTTATTATTTTTCAGTATCGAGCTTGAGTGGGGTGGTTGACGAAGAAAAGTATAGAGTACCTATCAAGCGCGAATACCACCACGCTCGGGCAGGCTACAACGATCGCACGGGTACTAGGCGCTGTCCTTTCAGGCGTATACTTCGCTTTGGTATCGGCGTGTCTTGCAGTTTGAGGGCCGGACATAGTAGTTGTTATGAAGTGAGTATCACAATGCAGACGGACGACGAAGGACGGATGCCGAGCAAAGGGCGTGAGGCCTGAGGGCATTTATGTTGCCACAAAGTGCCACCGGTGCCACACGCACGCACCCAAGCCACATTGTGGCACGAGATGCCACCGAGCGCAGGCCACGATCCTGTCAGATAGAAGTCATCCTACCTTTACCAGTATATCCGAGTGGTCCTGAAGTTGCGCTCACTCCATTCCTCGTCGAAACAGAGAGCGTCCGAGTCGCTTCCAGGTTGCAGCAGTGCTGGGAAGCTTCGGATCCAGGTACAGTCATGTCGTGCCAGTGTAGGAAGGGTGTTCATATCCGAAGCATTATACGAATCAAACACCGACATTGCAAAGCTATCGCGCCTGTCACGGTATAATGCTCTTGAGCATTATACCGTGACAGGCGCGATAGTTAGACCCGTCTTGATCAGTCTGAGGGGGCCCAGGATAGTACTTGAAAGCCCTTTGATAGCTTCGAAGTGGGCTGGCCCGGGGTGAGTCCGCCGCTAGGGTTTGACGTTGTCTTTGACTATAGGGCATATAGTACATGGTGCTGTGCAGGAGAGGCACATACTATAGAGACGTAAGAGAGATGTTGAGTAATTTGGGAGGCCTGCATAAGGTCGTTCATCTCATGTGTGTCAGTGCCAATCTTCCATTTGTTCTGTCCAGCTCGAGGAAGGCAAGGGGGCTGAAGAAGGTACGAGAGATAGAGGTGAGTGCGGAGAACGTGTCTCAACAATATCTTGGTCTGCCCAGAAATACATACATCACGAATATGTTGAATACAGAGGGTGTCTACGGATATACAGGAACAGGTTCGCATCACAGCGATACACCTTTGGTAGTCAATACAGAACAGGCCACGAAGCAAGAGATTGAACCAGGGAACCAAATATGCCGTAACACCTATTTTATGCGAGTCTTCTTCTCTTTACGACCAAGATGTTTTTCTTGGAAATGGCGTGTGGCAGCATCTGCTCTGCGGTAAAGCAAATTGCAGCCATATGCAGGACACGGGAATCGATAGACATGCCCGTAGACATGTCGCAGTAGATTATCCGCTTGCATCTGGGCGGGTTGCCGGATTACACCTCTGGGACCAACGACCCCGACAGGTGGTTTCTCGTCGCACAACTGCCCCTTGATGTCCTGCTGTCCATCGCTCAGTACAACACGGTTATGGCTACGAGATGTGCACCCCTCCCATTGGCAGAACACTCGATGTGAGCCCTTGAGGCACAAATCATGGGCCGGGCCCTTCAAATGGTCAGCAAGATCGTTCCGGCAGCTGATTTGAAAGTCCTGTCCGCAGCCCGCCCAGTAACATGTAACTGTCTCTGTCTCGCCAGAATCAGAATCCGTAGAGCCAGAAATCAACGAAGGAGCGACGTCTAGAGGGGGGGCGTTCTCGATATCAAATTGTTTGCGCTTGCGGGAAAAGGACGGAGCACCTTGTGTCGGATGTCCCTGTGGCGATGCGGTTGAAGCTAACGAAAGTAAGACTACGAACAGTAGGGTCTTATTATCAACTCACTAGCGAACTCTGGTGGTAGATGGTATCCTTGGGTACCATGGACGTAAGTAGGCATCGGGGCTGATGCGGTAGCAGGGACAGGAATACTAGGAATCGGGTCGACATCTGTTGCGCTATAAGGCCTCGGAGGGGCATGATAGAAGCCGATATCTTGCCACGGGAGTGGATATCCAGCCGGCAGGACCAGAGGCCTTGGGACACCAGTGGCCCACTGATGCCCCATTGGTGCCACAGTCCAACCTTGACGTGCGGGCACCAAGATGGAGGATGGTCCATCTACGTCCAAGGAACTAGTACTCTTGTCTTCATCATGAGAATAGCTCTCTTCCTCGCCTAATGGGCTTGCATGTGAGCTCCGCCCTGCTTCAGCGGCAGTGGTTGTACCACGGTCCGGTCCTAAGTAGGCCACAGTCGGAGTACCCTCCTTCGTTGGTGGCAACGCAAACACTTCAATCCTATTTGTAGGTACCGCATTTGGCCTCCCCAGGGGAGGAGGGACGGTGAAGCTCGTGAAGTCTCTCTGGATGGTCCGCAGAGAAGCGGCACGAGGTGCTGAGTAACATTTGAGCGTGGTGGGGGCTTCCGACGAGTCATCAGGTGCTTACGGTGCGCATCTTGCTTCACGTCCACATCATCGCCAGGACGCTGTGGCTCTTGAGTGTCTGAAGGTCCGAGCTCTGTCGCCATCGTGGCACGTCCATCGATGTGTCTTGACGAAATGTGAGACGGGGAACACGCGACGCAAATACAATATCTTACAGGAGGACTAGAATGGCAAGCACGTATACTTCCTCCAACGAAAGCTTGTCGGGATGCCCGTCAGGTAGAGGTTCTGTTGGGACTTCAGATGGCTCCGACGACGACAATATTGCACGGGGACTGTTAGAATCGATATGCGAGGAATGAGAAGACATTGCGAAGATCTGTCGTTGTGTCGGGAGGATGGCAGGAGAGAACGGGCAGGGAGTCCAGCGGGTCGCGCGCTGATTTATGGCACGGGCAGGTAAACAAACATGTACAAAACAAACCGATGTCTGTTCCGGGATGCCACATTTACCGTAACGGGCAATATCCCATTGTCATAGGGATGTGGCTGGTTGCGCTGTGGCATTCTGGGCTATGCCTTATCTGGACTTGAATATCACTCTGGTTCCGCTCAGCCTTTTCTTTCATATCGTGAAGAATGCTACTTACTACGCGATGTAAGACCCGTGGCAGAAACTCTTGCACCGGATGCGTGGGTCGGTGCTAGCTAAGTTACCAATCCGGTGATGCGTTAAGTCTGTGTTCTACCACGACAAACAATGCTATAAGACAGAGTCAATATCTTCCCTGGAAATGTTGAACCCCTGGAAGTGTTCAGCCTGACATTCGATGCATCTGGCGCAAGAGAGACGCGTCGGCCGGTTCAGCCCGATAGAGGAGCTCAACCCCAGACCTTCTCGCGCCGGCCTTTGCAGCGTCTGCGTGTCTACCAGAGAGCGCAGAAGCATCTAGAGAAAAATACCATTGGGCATGATCTTGTCTTGTGAGGTTCAGTCACCCACCTGTGTTTTCCTGCATTTCGCGTTGGCTCCCGATATGCCTAGCGCAAGATGATGAACCTACATGAGCTTGTGCCGCCTATGAATACAAGTTTGGAAGAAAAATATTCCACTCGAAGATGGCTATGGGCACTACTCATGAGTCAAAGTGACTAGTTGAATAATTAAAAGTGGACGAAGACGAAGACGCAGGCGTACTTCGTGAGAAGTGACAACTTCCGGATTCATCCGGTCGCAGGCTTCGACTTTGCGACACAAGGAGTCCAGTGGTTCCAATTATTTTATTTGCACAAGAGCAGCCCGTTCTATATATTCCACAACGCTCCTTGGCGCATTCCCGCTTGTAGCAAGCGATTGATATAAGATGCTATGATAGTACTAGAAATTGTCCATGCATGTGACGGGGAGAGAGTAATGTGCCCACAAGAAAAGGGAGGAAACGACAGAAACGACAGACAGTCCAAAAAGAGTGTGGTGGGGCGGGTGAATGTATCCGTGCAGGGGTCGTAACACTATCCAAGAAGTCCGATCCGAGAACGCGGGGGAATGTGAGGGCACCGAAACAGATGAGGAATAGATGGTCCAGAGCTGTACACAAGGCATTATACCACAATGCTAGAGGAAAAGAGCAGGGACACGATAGCAGCAAGAGTTGCGAGACAAAAGAAATAAATCAGTACACGAAAACAAAACCAACACATAGATTCCGTCAGCCAAAACTCACTTCACTCATCGCCGTTGGTAGTACGGATCGTACTCCCCACTCGGTTGCTGATGCCCATACCCTCCACCCGAATACCCCGGACTCATTTCGTCTCGATAGTGCGGATCTGCTAGGCTCACATTACTCTGGTTCCCCCAAGCCATACTTGAATTATCCTGTTTCAAGGGCATGAACGCGCTTGAATCACTCGTACGAACACCCGCATGGCCCATGGGCATTGACGCCCCCGTCGAGCTCATTGCATACGCAGCGGATGTGTTCCCAGCACGCGCAGCTCGCCTTCTCCGGGCCATGCAAATACCGAATAACGCACCGATGACGCCTACGACAGCGATCGCGGCAACAATCCCGCCGATGATTGCACCAGTGTGGGTAGAGCTTCCAGAGCTGTCCTTGTCGCCACTGCCACTCGAGCCGCTACCTGTTCCCTTGGCGGAATCCAGGCGGACGTTGGCAGGCAGAGAACTTGCTGCGCTGGTAGGTTGCGTGCCGATCTGGCCGTTGCCTACGGTAACCATTGTACCATTGCTGGGAATGCCGTTGACAACGACAAACACTAAGGCGGGACCGGGTTGGAATAGGTTTGCATTAGGAGGGGCTTGTGCGGTGTGCAATACGATGGATCCATCGGAGTTTACGGTATACGTGTTGTTGAGTTGCAGAGCGCGCTGACCCATGTTCATGGCATGGGTTGTCCAACCAGGACGCATCAGCATCACCGTGGTGTTGTCAGCGGCGTCGTTGGCGGATCCAGAGTAACTGGATGCGGGGATGGTAATGTCGAAGTAGTCGCCCCCGTATGAGATAGTCTTGGGAATACCAGAGGGGGAGGGGCGGGTAGAAGCGGAGAAGTAAGGGGGGTAGAAGATCTCGGCCTTGTAAGTTGTGGGGAAAACGGTGCTCAAGTTGACATCGACGTTGGGGTTGGAACCAGCAATCATAACCGAAGCGTCAGGAAGCAGAATAGCAGACGAGTGGTAAAGACGAGGGATGGTGGACGAGCCAAGACCGTCACGAGACCAACGCGAGCCCTTGGGTGCGGTGGGGTCGTAGATAGCGGGAGTCAACACGGGGCCAGCAGCCAGCGACATACCGTAGGGCATGTCACTGTAGTTGGGAGTCTCTGTGGTCGCGGTGGAGTAGCCAGCAGTTCCATTAAGGCCACCGTTGACGACGAGCATCTTGCCATTGGGGAGAGCGATGAACTGACCCATGGTGCGACCTTCCGGCATATCATCATCCTGTTCGTATACTGGCGACGAGCCATCCTCAGGTTCAGGAGTGATGCGCTGGCAGTCCTTAGATGCGGGGTAGTCCCAGGTGTTGATGTTAGGGAAGGAGTAATTACCCCACTGCTCATCGTTCATGTCAGAACCGCCGCAGAAGATGATCGTAGGGTTCCAGTTGTTGGCGGGAGTCAGCGGGAGCATGGCAGTCGCACCCGAGGCAGGATAAACACGAACAACGTTGCCAGGCATGTCGGGGAGAGGCGTCTCGGTGTTAGTGTTCGGGTCCCAGAGCACTATGCGGAGTTATGAGCTGCTGTCGGTAATTATAAAGGGAGTGACTTACTCGTAGAGATGTTGGCCTGCACGAACATTTTGCCGGAGGGCATCATGAATGTGTGGGCATAGGCGTTAAGACCGGAAGTCTTGATCATGAACTGCATGACTTGCGGTTCCTTCCCATTGCTGGGGTAGAACTCGTACGTCGGCTCAGCAGCACCTCCCTCGTAAGCCGGATCGGTGTTGGGATAGTTCCTGTTGATGTAACCACCGTTCACGAAACCACCGATGAGAACAACCGTTCCATCACCCATCGCCTCAGCGGCCGAGTACCATCGCTGCTTCTGCATACTAAGGACAGCAGGGTTGTCGAACCATTGGCAGTCTGCTGATGCGAAGTTGTCGGAGCTCGTACAGGGGTTGATGACACGGATGGCTTTCGTGCCGTCGTAGTCTTGGTAGGTCTCGTCGTACGCACCGGAGCCAGCAGCATTCCGCTGTGAACCGATGTTGCCTCCAGGGCCGATGGCGCCGTTTCCACCGAAGGTAGCGTATGAGCCGTTCGGTAGATGCATTCCTGACGCACAGAAAGCGTTCGTGACGAGATTCATGGTCGTCGCGGTACGCGAGTTGATGTCCCTGCAGTACCTTCAGAGACCAGTACGGAAGAAGGTTCACTGACTGACACGCACCATACTGAGGCCGATGCTGGGTGGCCGTCGATCTGCGCTGCATTACCCTCTACTTTGTCGATGATGTAGACCTTCTCTTCGTTACCGAGGAACATCTGCGCCGGCTATTCAATGCGAAGATCTTCCAACATAGCCAAGTAGAACGCACCATCATTGCGCTGACTAGTGTATCGCCGACCTCTACAATAGAGCCGGCGCTCTGCGCGCTGGTTTCCGAGGCTGTTGCTAGCCATAAGGCAAGGAGCGAAAGGGGCGATATTAACATCGTGAAAGTCGTTGCGAATGACGAGGCTCCCAGTCCAGGTAATAAAGGAGGTCTAGTAAGAAAATAGAGGGTATTAGGGACCGGAGAATGGAGGGCGAGGAGGAGGTCGAGGTAAAAGAGAGTGTTGGCTGTTGGGGTGTGTTTTGGCCGCCTGCCAACCTGTGTGCTTATTATATCCAGGCCGAACCTATGCCGACACCCAGGACCCCGTAACTCCTTTATTCCGTTTACGGCCCCGCCCTTCCGGGGTCCGCGCGGGGAATCGCGCCCACGAGTCCAAGTCCCAGCCAGACGCTCTGTCGGTCATTCCAGAGCAACCTGGCCAACGCTTGGGGTGCTCTCAAACACTTGTCTAACAGCTTCTGCGTAGGGTCGTCTTTGCGGCGTACGACATGCACAAGGTCGTTCCACAGCGCACAGTTTACCATTTTTCTTGCGCCCAGCACTGCAGATCTCCATGCTGAAAGATACTCAGGCGTCGGCATCGCTCCTATTTTTATTATCAACATTTTTGCAGCTTCTATAAATACGAGGCGCATGGCTTCCAAGGCAATGGCTGATTGATATGTTCCTCACTGTCCAGCCGTCCACTGGCCGTCTTATGAATGTCCGGCCGTGTGTAAAACAGGAGGATGTCTGATTCAGAAAATGCCTCATATAAAAAATTCCCTTGACGTCACGGAGTGAAGCTCAAGGCACCGGGGAACAGTACTAGTGAGTTTTGGCTCGCCATATACCCCGGGCGCTCGAGGTATACGAATGCAAGTCGAAATCGTGTCGAATGGAAGGACGCGAGTATCGCAGTGCCACACGGACGAAGATACCCGCATTCGGAAGCAGAATGTCCGTTACGTCGATGTTTATCCATACCGTTGTCCGAGTAAACTAGAATGACAACGTCCATACCCAACCATTCAACAAGGTTCGGACTGCACTCAGGCGTCAAGTTGAAGGGTCCTCCTTCTCGAGGCAACGCCACCACACACGACTAGCAGACAGCCTAGCTCGATTTGCATTGCTATGCGGGAAAGCGCCTGTTCTCCGGACTCGATCTCTGTGAGGCGCGCACTTTCTGAGTGTTCCTCGGCGAACTCATGCCATGTCCCTCTCACATGCCCTGAGATTCAGCGTCAACAACGCTTTCTGAGCGTTCCACCCAGCGGCGTCGTCCAACCTACGGTTATCCACAGGAACGCATTACATCCTCAATGGACTAGCTGCTGTGTTACTGCGTATCTACAGGCAGCCGCGGGCGCTGGACTTTATCTACGGCAGATCTCAGTCGCCGACTCTGACCTCAGGCAGGTCGCGCGTTTCTTGTCCCCACTTCATAGCTTCAAGGAGGGCTACTCCCCGCGGCTCCGAAATGTCAAGTACAGAGGTTCATGTACTCGTTCCAAATCCGACCACGAATCTATGTGTTATATAAATACCGACCACCTCTTCATGAACGTTTAGTTTGACTCCGGGGAAGGTCCTTCCGGAGAGATATCGGCACCTACCCCAACATATCCGTGCTCATGACAACAGCAAGGCAAACCCGGAGAAATCACACAGACGGTTGGGAATCTCTTTTGCTGACTGACATCGGCGTCTGTTCGGGCTTCCAATAGTACGTTCGCTTTTGCGGGGGACGATCCGAACGAAGTGTCTCGAACATACCGCCAGTGTATGGGTTGCTTCGTATTCCCACCTGTGAGGAGCTAACTTTGCGGTCTTGCGCCATCGCTGTGCAAGCGACAATCGAAGAGATACTGCAAGTCGAGGTGAGCTGGGGCTTCAAACGAGATGCAGTCTTTTGATCTACCCACAGTCGAGGCTGTGACATCGACCGTTATCATGCCATGTCCATCTGATGCACTGCACTCACTCTCCCACATCTCAGTTACTCCAATCCACGACGAGTGCGACAATCATCAAGTCTTGAAGACCATCTAGCGGCGGTCGCATGTCCCAAATCAGATCCAGACACGGTAGGAAGCAGCAGCAGGTCTACAGCATTCCTGGCACGGTATTTAGCTATCGATAACTCGTGTCACCTATGGCCAGCGTCGTGGGGAGCTATCTCGCTAGCCGCCCGCTCTGAACGTTCTGGGTGAGCGTAAGTTGAAGTGGAATTGCGAATGAACCTTGATCGAGGTTGAGTGCGTTCATCACTGAGAGCGAACCATTACCCTGCCGCGTACTCATCCATCGGTATCGCAGGTCAACCGAACTGGAGATTCGAACGCGACAGGATACAGAACTGAAGTTCGGTCGCCACGTACTGGTTTGCGGCGCTACCCATGGTGCCCACAACAGGCGTTCGGGATACCGCAGTTGCGTATCTGAGCAGACGATAGAAGGTCGTCCCCGTGGAAGATATGCTTTTGCAGCTGTAGCCCGGCCGGCTTCCTGAACAGAAGCGCGCGTCATAGGTGCTCAGTCCAAAGATAAACCTTGAAACGTACGTCGAGGAGGTAGGTCACCCCCCAATTCTTCGCCCAACTCTCCTCCCTCTTATATCGCGGAGGTCTTGATCTCCACGCTGCCCAATGTAACGATCTCCTCAACGTTTGTGTACCTGACCGCGACTACTGCAGCAATAATCACTTGGCATTCGGCCCCACAAAGGAGGGCCGACATTCTGCCATTGCATTGAGAAGGCAGTTATAAAGCGGAGTACCGGGCCAATGTGACCAAGTACGTTCAGTACGATAGGCCGAGGGACGCGACACGACGGCCAGCCATTCCTCACACAAGAACACAAGAAGGACGCGCGAAGTGACACGAGGAACATCATTGCTTGCAAGCTACAACAGGATTCAGAGATAACATGCAACAGAAGTATATCGAGAACATGAACCGAAGCACGACACGTAACGTGCATTATTACGATACCAATTCCGCGATTTCACCAGTCAAACCAATTCTCCAGCGTATCCGGATCGAAAGGCCAATACTGGGGTTGGACGCCAGGCGTGGGCATAAGACGCACTCGAGCCGGGTCACGTCTTGAATCCGGAAACAGGTACGGCCGTCTAGCCTCCACATTCCTTGCAGCAGCCCTAAGCCTTCGATCTGCGGGGCGTAAGGAGCCTGGTTCGGCTTGAAATATTGTCAGGAATCCGTGGCATAGCCGATAAAAGTTATCGGGGCTCGCGATGCTGGGAGAAGGGAAGGAAACGAAGATTGCGGCCCAGATGCCGTTGTTCTCGTCTATGTAGGGTATGGTATCGTAAACCATCATATCATCCATGTGAGCGGCGGCAGGGGGCTCGGGGACGACTAGGCTAGGGGCGGGTACGGGAGGCTGCGTAGCAGCGGAGTCATTATCAGTCGCCTCGGCGTCCGGTGCAGGGAAAGACTCGTCCGGTCCGGCAACAGCTTGAGTAACGCCTACTTCACAGACAGCAGCTACCGCAGTACTCGGGACCGTACTAGACACCGAAGTCTCAGCAGATCGAGAGTCAAAGGTACTCGGAGGAAGGAGGCCAGAACGCGGGGTCTCTTGGTCGCCGGCCACCTTCCGTTTCTTGACCAACTTGGAAATAGCAGGCGGGGCTTCATGTTGCAGTCGGTCAGGTGAATCAGAAGGACCGGTCAGTGGTCGCATGCCACCCTCATCCTGCTCTCCCGCCTCTTCGGACAGCGAGGACACGCGTCGCTTACTGCCACGGTAGTCAGGTCGCGTAGGCGAAGGAAGCAACATGGACTCCACCGCCTCCTCGCTGGAGAACTCCGGACGTTTCTTTGCTACGTTCAAGCGTAAGGGGGTGCCCTTCTTAGGCGATCTGCGCGGAACACATTCATCAGACACAATTACCCCATGAGACATACACTCACGTATTCTCCTTGTCAGTCATAACGTCTGCAGCAAGCGCAGAGCTGGAAAGGGAATTTGTACTGCGATGTGGCATCGCCGGGAAAGGCCAGTGGCTTGTTAAGGACGGTTGTCACTCATAACACCTGTGTGTGTTAGGTGTGACGGGAGCCAAAAAGGATACATACAGTAGGTGGTGCGCGCGTATAGGGATCGTCGTCCAAACAGTCTGAATACGTCCGACTGGTTCCATGACGAACACAGGGATCAGGTGCGCAACCCTGCACCGTAAATGTCTGAAGGTGCATCGGCGTCAGCAGCAAATGCAACTTTCCAGGGAGAATGTCCCCTTACATTCTAGCATTCGAAGTAACCATTACCACAATCAACGCTGTACGCCTCGGCACCAGAGACTCGACTTCGGATGGGCATCCTGGGAGATACAGTACTGGTGGATGAAGCGCGCAGCAGTATCGACCTGGCAGTTGATTCCCAGTAAATTGACAGGCTTCGGGAGATCGAATATGACTGTGAGCCGTCCAGGTTCCAGACGCCAGGTGAGGAGCACGTTCGACGAGTTGTTCCAAAGTGATAAGCATTTCGTTGCCGTATTCCGAGCAGTGAACAATGGGAATATAAGCCGATGGTTGCCAACAGACTTGCAACAGACTGCTTGAAAGTGACAAATCAGTCAGAACGAAACAAGACCAAAAAGGTGAGACGCGCAGATTATGGCTGGACGGATGTACCCGGCAGTTCGTGTTTTTCGCACGTACGGCTACCCACCTCTCCTTCCGCTTTCTCTCCCTCTCTCAAGAAATCCTCTATAAAAGTTGCCTCGAATCCTGCTAGAGATACGATCGCGAAAACCCCCAGTGTGTATCCGTGACATTTCAGAAAAGAGCGCCCATCACGAGCCACGCCAAAATTGCCCCCGAGAGGCGTCGGAAGATATCGCAGCTCATCGCCCAAACAAAACAGTGCTTGGATGGCTGGTAGAAATACGCCCAACGATCATGGATAAGCCATGTTCATGATCGTGGACGCCGGTTGCCACGGCCAGACCAGACAGTGGGACGACTCTAAGGTTTCGTTGGGGGAACGAGGTCCATGTCGGTGAATGATTGATGTGAGGCAATATGTCGTGGATATATGCAGGGCAAGTGCTTGTAGATACCGCACCAGATTGTACCATCACAGCGTGTGCCAGTGGCCACGAGTGCCTGGCGTCAAGGGAGAGGGCCAGGTGTGTCACGCGGCAACTCTCTGCACGCACATATACTGAACCGCGGGAGGGCCTCTGTAGATAATGCAAGATAGGGGGGCTACATAGTAGTACCAAGTATTGATACGATACGAACGCAATGCATTCCAACAATACGGCTGTCTTAACAGGCCAAAGAAAGACTGTAAGAACGTCGCTCTGAGAGAGTGGGAACTTACGCTAATCACGCGACTATAGGTAATGTTACGAGTTGGCCTTGAGCTGCCTTCAGTGGCGCCCATCAGAGGTGTTTCGTGGCAAGGAGGAAGTGCCACAAAAGCGATGCACGAAATACAACAGATGTCCAAGAATGGCCTGAGACACTCTGGCTTGCCAACCGAGGAAGACAAAGGTTTGGGGTCTACCTCGAACCAACGTGGGACTTAGCGAAATGGTGCCACAGGCGCAAAACAATGGGAATGCCTGTTCTAGGCAACCCCTCGTCATCGCTACGCTTTGAACGCGTCCTCGCGCTGTTTGCCACCCTGGCCGCGTTGTAGGTCCCCCCGGTGCATATAAAATCTGACAGCGCCCTGTTCATTTTTCGTTACTCTATCTTTCTCGCCCTCCTTCGCGACCCTAATCTCATGCCTTTGCTTTGACCTGCGCTGCTCATCGTTGACCTTACTTCGCTTGTATATCCCACGTCCTGATTCTCTGGATATCCGAACCAGTCTCTTAACTTCCCAACGACAATCAGTTGGCGCCATTCTATTGGGCTCTTAGGTGGCAAACATGCCCTGCTACTGTGGCTACATGCTGTATGCTACTTGCTTCCCCGGTAAAGACTCTGCTCACGTATTATATAGGAAGGTCCCACTTTCTTCCTCCACGGAGTCGCTCGCGAATCCCGAAGACGCCATGTGCGACCACTCGGACTCAGAACACGATGCTGGGGACTCGGAGAACTCCGGTCCTCAAGCATTGGCGGGTCGTTATGGGTCAAACAATACCGAAGACAGTGCCAATGACCAAGGCGGTAATACGCATCCGGGAGACCAAGCGGTCCTCGGCGAAGGCCGTCCGCAAACTCGCTTAGTAGACCCCTACGCCGATATGGAGACGGAGAGCGAGAGCGAGGACTCGGACGTTTCGATTATTTCGATTGAAGAGGAAAAGGCCGACAGATCCGTCACTGGTACGTATCTGCGTCATCCTAGTTTGACCTCACGATTGCCTGATTCGCGCTTCGTACCTCATCCCAGTCTTACAGCAGAGGCAAGGCCGGCCCATTCTAAGTGAGGATGCGGGTGCAACGTCTCATGTGCCCGAGGATGAGGACGACCAGGCCCCAGGTCCGTCTCGTCGCCGTGGTGGTAGGAGCGGTGGGTCTCCAGATGTAAGATACTCATTCAGCCGTACTGACGTGAATAATAGCTGTCAGCCGAGCAGTCAGGCCTCGGCCTCCGAAGTCGAAGAAAAGGAAGTCGTAAGGCCGGGAGGGCAGGGAGGGCGATAATGGACTGTCCGTCGGTTGTACAGTCACTGCACCAGTACTCGATCACACATTGGCTGCATCCATGTTGTTATAGGACTCTTGTATCCATAGCTGCCTCGAATTTTATTCGCATTTCACGATCTTCACTTCGTCTGACTGCGTATGCACTTGGTGTCTCGATTCCTGATAACCTTTTTTTCGAGCCGCATTTCTACTGGCTTTTTCTACCGGGGGAGATCGTAGCTATCGTGGCAGAAGAGTTTCAGTGGATATAGATACCGTATTTCGATGCGTTCATCATACTGTACTACGATAACGCCATCTTGCGTTCGGTATACTTAATCCTCCATCAATTTCCCCAGGCGCTCTCCGTTGCGACAAACCTGTACGCTGAATCAGCTGCGACACGGCGGTCTCATCGTCTAGAGTGTACTGCTGGCAAATCCGCGAGGCGCCACTTGCTGCTGACCTGTTCGTGTTGCGCTCTTATGGCCAGCTCGCCGTGACAACCCAAGTTGTCCAAACTGCAAGAACGGCCCGAGTTTCCCAACGGGCGATGAACTACAGCACTGATACTGTACTTTGGGACATTAAGCTTGCGTCCTCTGTGGAGGACCACCTGTGACCAAGACGACCGGACTGACGCGTCAACTTGGCGCACTTAGCCCGCTCTTGATCCTTCCAGTCCCTCCTTACCGCACTACTTCATGCACTCCGTGATCACTCACTCAGTCGGCGCCCGGGATGGGTCAGGAGGCAGAGGACTTAGATTCTGGCAACATCTGCAGGCCTCTACTAGCTTCAAGGCATCAAAACGCAGCGGCAGGATTCCACGGGAATCCTTGTTGATCGACACCGTCGACTGTTCATCTTTCCCCGGGGATGATTGATTGGGGAGGGCAATCATTCTTTGATAACCGGTCATGCAAGGCGAAGGCCATTGGCTTGCCATCCCTTTTGCACAATTATATAGAAAGGAATCTCGCGCAGCTCGGGAGAGCTCGGGACCAACCACTAGGCTCGTTGCGTACCTGGATACACAAGGTAAAATCCGGTGGAATGTCCTCTACCTCCTTACTTGCACTTGGAGTTCATACAACATCAAAACGTCCTGGCCCGGGGTGTCCCTGACCGGAACACCGCGCTCATGTGTTCATCCGTCTCGACTGTGCGCATCATTCCTGATGGCACCCTTGCTATATTTAGAATCGGCTGTTGGGCGACGCATGCTACCACAAGTTGCTCGGGGACCCTACTTCAGTATACTCAGGCTTTTTCCTGGTCTTACAGCCGACCTTGTCGGCAGTGAGGTCGCGGCCGTGAAGCTTGTGCTCGAGTTCAAGTGTTTACAATCTTGCCAGGAATACGCTTGGCATGATTGCACTGTCACAATGGGTTGATTCCACCTCCGACGAGACGACCGCGAGCTTGATCACGACGCCAGGAACTGCATTCCATGCGCTTACCGCTCGTTATATGTGGGTCATTCCATACCGAATCCCTGAACACACCCTCTAATTTCCTCCGAAAATGCAATAGCATCACTTTCCCAGCGACATGAAGCCTCAATCCATTCTTATGTGTTCTTCCCCTTGGCGTCCGAGTTTAATTTGCGGACTGGGCTCTTCTATTACAGAAGAAAAGGCAAGGTGATCACTGCGCCTGATGCGGTCTTGACCTGCCATTGAGTTTCCATCAATTTCCGAAGGCATTTCATGGGGATTGGTCACGCTGATCCGCCCCGCATGCTGCACACAAACTGAGGTCATACTAGATTCATTCCATTGCGAGCCCAGCTCACTGTCTCAGGTATAAAAGAGGCGTGCTAGCCAGCAAATTCATTCAGCTCGCTCATCCATCGAGACTAAACCCCACTTCACCCCATATAACTCCACACCTCTGACCATGGTCAAGCTCTCTATCTCCGCTGTCCTGGCGGGCCTCGTCGGCTATGCGCTCGCCGAGTCTCACACCATTTCTGTAAGTTGTCCCCGTATGTTCATGTGTTTACCCCAGGACCATATTCATGCATCGCTGCTGTAGATGACGAACAACTGTGGCTCTGGCAGGCCCGTCTTCCTCTACCAGGGTCACCCTAATCCCCAAGGTCCTACTACTATCAACGGACAAGTCCTCGGCGGTATCGCTTGGTTGGACGGTTTCTCTGGCGCCAACTGCCTGAGCTCCGGCGTCAACTGCGGCGCGGTCGAGTTCACTCTCCGCAACGATGCTCCCAACCAGAACGCGGCGGACTTCACCCTCGAAGCTGATGCTTCCCTCGGGAACCACCGCTTGTACGCGCCGCTGTCCAGACTCGGCTGTCACTATGTGCTGATGAAATCCGGATCTTTGTAGCACCTATCCCATGAGGTACCAGTACACCGGCGGCGGAGCCTGCAATGGCATCAGCGACAACTGCCCGTCTGCTAACAACTGCCCGCACGCATTCACGCAGCCGACGAACGGCACGCCGTTGCAATGCCTAGGCCAGGACGCTGGGGTGAGTACTCCCTCCACAGCTGCGGTGGGACGAAGGTCCTGAACCTGCTCGATTTCTAGATCCACATCACCTTCTGCTAAACTTCCCACGTGGCCAACAAGGTCATCCTGGGATAACGATGATTTGCTTGACATGGCTGTATGAGGCTCTGGGCTATATAGTTGCGAGAGTATGGCTTGTAAAAATAAAGGGTCTGCAGTACCCCACAATAAATTGGATTGCGAACTCGTACAGTCCTCGAAGCCTGCTTGTGGCCCTTGGGCAGTTTCGTCCGTCCCAATGGTTGGATGCGTGCTCTCAGGTGACTCAGCTCAAAGTCTGTGCGTACTAAGCATGACCACCGAACCCGGAGGACCAATCAGTCTGGGATTGCGATGGAGAGGCGGAATCGAAGAAACTTCGCCAAAGTATCGTGAGGTCATCTCCGACTAGGACCTTGTTGGGCTCTAAACACCTGTTAAATTACAGGAAGGCAGAACTGCCGAGAGTGGGCCTCTTCACTCAGTGGAAGTTTACCATATTATTGATGTTTACATTGTAGCGTCAACTGCCAATAATCTGCGCGAAGCCAGTCACTACTATATACTCAAGAATTTATAACACGCTGGGCCGCCGCTGGGCAGAGACTTACGCCTCAGGCTCTCTGCGATTAATATTGGCCCCTCTAAAATGATTCGAAAGTGCGTATACCAGACTGAAACTGGCACCCAAAGTCGTTTTCAGCCCGTTCCTTCATTCTACAGCATTGTTAGTTCGAGCAGCAAGCCGGCATGCCCGAGCGCACCGAGACTCCGTCTGGAGGTTCCCACTGATCCGACTCATTCGAAGCAAGCATTCGGGTGCGCATTGGGCGTGTATTCTGGGGCGTAGCAATATTTACTATTGTCTCTGGCATTTCAAATATTCGCTAGAAGGGCTGCTTAATCAGGGTCGCTTCTTGACGAGATTGATAAGTTCAACCCTCGCGCTGCTCACCAGCACTCAAGACGGCCGCGTATAGCTTGGATATCACGGGGCTCTCTTGCTCCATCTTGAGTAGGTCTGTACGGATATTGCTGAGAAATACTGCTAAACTTGAACAGGGGTCCTGAGCGACAGCCTTTCTGTCTATCTTCGCATTCAAGAAGCGCAGGTGAGAACAGAACTCGTGTCTAACCTCTCCTATCAATCAGGGAGTATGCTATTGCATTTCTCAGCGATCACATCCTAGCTGAGCGGTGCCGACCTCACCGAAGACACTGGTGTGTGAGAGGAGTTTTGAGGCCCAGGACGCTTGATCCGATTATCGCAGCTCTGGTTCTGCACATGCTTTCAGAATCTGTCTACATCAGCATCTTGGGCCATAAATGAGAGAGCAAAAGCAAGAAATTCGCCCGCGCCGCACCCCATCGAACTTGAATTATTACCGATGCCAGGCTTGACTCCCACAGCCCACTATCCCGATATTATCATCGCTCTCAATCTGCTGGGAGAAGTAGATCGATACCACTGGTTGCTTTTCGTTGCCGACCCCGAGAGCGAGAGAGGTGCAGGGACAAAGATCCATGTAACCGACCGACCTCTTGCCACCAGACCCGAAGATCTTTGGCATTTCGAGCACCAACCCTATACGATAAACTCCTCTCAGTCTGTCTGCGCAGCTGCGGTCATTGGAAAGCTGCCTGCTGGCAAGACGGTTTCCGACCTAATCAGCATCGTGGACACTATTCCGCTTAATGAAGTACCCGCAGCAGAGAAACCAAAGGAGACCAAGTTCAGTTGCAGGTTGTGGGTGAGGGAAGCGTCTGCACGCCGCAAAGTATCTCGTCTGTTCAGATGTCGATGCTTTGGAGAAAGAGCTGAGAGGGTACGCCGCTGCTGCGGTAGAGGCGATAGAGAATGAGACATTCACAAAAGCAGGGCTCGTTCATGCTAAGGCTTCCGTACCCGCTTGACCAAAGAATATCGATTCTCTCACCCATTGTACTACTCACAGAATACAACGTATTGTGTTGCATGAAAGCATGCTTCTCCGTCGCCTGCGTTGTGTACTTATCTATAGCCTGAACTCATGTATCAGTTCCTGCCTCTCCGCTCTGTAAATTCGTACCGAAAGTCTTCTTGCCTCGCAAAGAACGTATCTGAAGACGTACGGCGGAGACAAAATTCAGCCCTGGTACCGAATGCAATAACGGTGTCCAATAAGTGAATCAGGAACCTGGGCACCACCATGTAGAAGCATGTCATAGGTCATGTATAAACTCGCCGATACTTCTGTATCAGTTGATCTGCCTCGACGACGTCGCCGTAACCAGGGTAAACCTGCTCCATCACCTTACGCCAGTAACCCCTTCTGTACTGCAACAGGAATATCGACTTGATAAGCTCCCTGCGCGTGTCCAGTCAACCGCCTGGTACACAAAGATAATCATTTGATACCCACCAATAGTCAGGCATCCAGGACGCCGTGGCCCAGTCAATTACACCGGTGATTTTCAGGTCCTTGTCTACCAGGATATTGGCCGGAGTGAGATCCCCGTGCGTCAGTACCACTGCGCGAGGTGACGAGAAGGCGCGAGTTATCCTGTCCATGACAGGCTCCTTCTCATCTTCGGGTATCTCTAGCACTGAATAACCCAATAAGGCATCCTGGAAGTCTTCGACTGATTCGAAGGGGCCGAATGACCCTCCCAAAAGCTGGATGCGTGGATCATCCAAAGCAGAGCCATCAAAGCGGCAGATCTTGCGGCCACGCAGAGGACGTACACGCCTTAGCTCCTCAGATATACGCTTGACCTGGTGAGCTAGGGCGTTCTGTTGCTCCTCAGAGGGTCGCCCAAACTGAGCTTGATAGTCAAGCAAAGACATGCAGGGCATAGCTTGCATAACAAAATAGGTGCCATGGTGCTCCGTCTGAAGATAGTCATAGATAAATGGCACCGGTAAGTTTGTGTTTTGCCTGATGAACCGTGTGGCAGCGTACTCAGACGCAGAGACCTGTCCTTTGATGACGAAGCCGAATAGAGTACGCTGTACGTTCCCCCACTGGTTGTAGCTATCGTACCGTTTACGACCGTCGAGAATGAGATAACGATATAGCTTCCTGCGTAGAGATCGCGGCACCATGTGCAGAAGTAGTCGCTTCAGATGCATCAAGGTTGCTTGACAGATGCATATGGCACTAGACAGCATTCTGACTGCATGTTGTTAGTCGCGCGAAAGGCATATCAATGCAAAGCACCTTACGCTATGAGTTAAGCAGCCTCTATGTGCAATGGACAGTGAAGAGGTTGGCTTAGCAGGCGTTTGCCTAAATCAGGTCATGGGCATCCCCACGGTCTTGAGTTCAGAGTCCTCATGTACGATCTCTCACTGTCTCAGCGACTCAGCGCTAGCATGCAGTTGCAGGTAGAGAATGGACGAACTTGAGTTCGTGCGCGAGGTGTAATACAGGCAGCAATGCTCGTGAGTACTTGTCGTACATGTATCTCAGCCATCTGACTGTCACTCGTCTTTTATTATCATTTATAACAACCCAATTGCCGTCATGGGGCATGGCAACGCAGCGCTTCACTTCCATTGACGAGGAACTCCGGGAATGCGACGTTTCATACGGAACAGAAAGGCTCTGAAAATGGTGAGCGACACCATGGATGCCAGGAAACCCACATGAAGTGTATTGCGCAATCTGATAACGAGACACAAGATTGCCACCGCGGGCATGGAGCACTGGCAACCTATACGGATACAGTACTCAACGCTTACTGCTCGCAAAGCGGTCCAATGCAGATGGCTTCCTGTCGGCCGCTGGCCCAAGCTTCGCCCTTTCCCGTTCCTTCCTTCGTTCTTCCCTTTCCTTTTCAAGCTTCTGCCGGATGGCAATCTATGCGGACATGTTTCAGACAACTGGGGAATACGACAAGGGGACTTAGGTCAACGCACCGCTTTAGGGTCGATAACATTCTTTCGCTGCTTCCGCAGATACCTTCAGCACGAATCGTAAGTTATGCAAAGACGCCAGACCAGCATGAAGTCGGCTCACCTTTTTAAGCTCTTATTCCTGCCTCTCATCTTCATCTTCTCCTTCTCCTTCTTAGACTTGGAAGTGGCAGTACCACCCGCCGCCTCGTCGTCCGCACCCCCATCGGCGTCTGCCTCCGTCTCATCCGCTTTACCTTGGATCCGGAGGCGCTGCAACCGAGGCAAGCGAGCGAACGGTATATCTTGGTCTTGAGGAACCGCCGTGCCTGAGGGGGCGAGGCTGCCAACGAAATCGGGGTCCAGCGCAATCATATCAGCGGGAATCTGCAGGTATAATCGCTGTTACTGTGGTGAATCGTTGAAATGAGATTTGGTACTCGCCTTGTCCAAGAGACCCTTGACTTCTCTCTCCCTGCGTCCTTTCTTATTCTCAAATGGATCCGCCTCGCTGCTGTCAAAGTTGGGCTCCCCAGCTCCAGGGACAAGGATGCTCGAGAGCCCCTTGTCGTGGCCAACGGTTAGAATATCTTGGAACGGGCAGAAACGGGCGGAGGTGATAGGTCGATGGGGAATGGGGTGCGTCAGGTAAAGGGGCGGTGGTGAAGATGGTGCAGGTATTGCAGGTATCGTGGGTTTCGTGTAGACCTGAGGAAATCGGCACATCAGGAGACAATCGAGCGAGCTACGGTGGCCTCCAACTCACGTTCACACTCCCACCAGAAGCCACCGCCAACATGCCCCTCTGACTAAACTCCAACTCCGCATCCCCCGCACTCCTCAGGTGCCAGCTCCTCACCGCGCCCTTCCAATTCCTACAATCCCACACCTTCACCATCCCGTCCTTCCCGGCCGTCGCCATGTACCGCCCGCCCTCGCCCTGGCTCCCATGGCTGACGCTGATGCTCTGCACCGGGCCCAGGTGCGCTAGAAGGCGCACGGCGGGGTGCGGCAGGTTGGGTGTCCAGAGCGAGACAACCCCGTTCTGGTGCCCGAGGTGGATGACGGCGTTGTGCGGGTTTTTGGTCATGCTGATCGGTGTGCCGAGCTTGTGCTTCGTGGTCTGGTGCACGGCGACGATCTGCCCATTAGTTGTATCAAGGTAGTGTAGGTGGCCGGCAGTGGTCTAGAGAAATCATATTCGATATACTACAGACGACTGTTGGGTGTAGTTGCACTCACGATGCTTGCGAGCAACCAGTGATAGTCGAGGTACTCGAGTCTCGTCGCCTCGACGTGCGACTTGAGCTTGTGCAGCTCGACGCCATCTTGGTCGTACACAAATATGTGCTTTTGCTGTGCGACAGCGAAGTGCGTATGTGAATGGAGGAACCTACAAGGGGCTCAAATGAGAGCTCACCAACGTGTAGTGACCGAATTCACCTACGTGATGTCTCTGCATGTTTCCTGCAGCTGCAGTTCTGTGTGTAGAGTCCCGGTTTGCCAGTCGAAAGTGGCGACATGGCCTTTGCGGCCCAAAACCGCGAGATGTCTACCGGTCAGTCAGAATACTGCACAGGCGTTGGCGTGGATGAAAGACGGGGAGTATCAAGATGCCGCTTCTCTATCCATACTTGACATGGGAGAGAGTACATAGCAGACTCACCGGCCGTTTCTTGTATACCTCGACCTATACGGGCCCCCATCCAATTTCCATTCTTTCCGCCCCTTGGCCGCCTCCGCACCTGCCTCCTTGACAATCTCGTCCTGCGTCAGCCTCCACGTCCTATCCAAATCACCTTCCACCTCGAGCTTGCCAGCTTCGTCCACCAGTAACAAGTCCGCTGCATCTTCGATCAATTGCTTGCGCCGCACACTCTGTGCCGTCTGCCTATTCAGCTCGGCTCGAAGTTTTTTGTTCGGGATATGTGAGTGGGTAGGAGTGTTTTCGGGGAGAGGTGATGAGGGTCGTAATGACTTTGGTAGGGCTGTCCGGTGTGTAATTGAGGATGCAGTCGGGTCGGCCTGAGGCGCACTCGATTTCGACGGCCGGGCATCTCGAGGAGCTTGGCTTCTCTTGGATAACTTGCGTCTTTTGGAAAGTGGTTGGATAGCGTCCGCCTTTGCTATCAAAGAATCCATTTGATACCAGCTGAAGGGTGAATGAAGCTAGCCTTCGCGTGCAAAGGTGGATTAGTGGCGCAGGATCACTAGAAAACAAACGTGGGAAGTCTGCCATATGCAGCCACGTTAAGTGTATCCTCGGGATTGGCCGGATTTAGCATGTGATGGGAGCCACAATCCACAATTCACTGCGTGCTCATTGCTACGTGGCAGACCATAATACAGTTGCACATACGGGTCTGAAGCAACACCGCTGTACTCTAAATGCCGGTGAGGACATGTTCTTGCATAGCTGCGTGTGTCGTCAATCAAGGGGTATCAACTTAAATCGCACATAACGTCCTCTCCCTGCCGGAACACTACAAACGGACCGTACATGCGACAACGGAATTATGAAAGCGAAAGAAAGCGATATTAAAACAACATAGCATCACCAGGGAAAACATACGACCGCGCTCTGTCCTTGATCTACCGATAGCTCCCAAAGAGTGCACCAAGCGACTTGGAACCTCCAGCAGAAGTCGGGCCTAAGTCGTCTACCATGCTCTTCAGGAACTTTATCTCTGTCACGTTTGCATTTGATACCCTCCCTATTAGGTACGACTGCAGGGCATGGGGTGAAATGCGTCGCAGTCGTTCTTTCAAGTCCGCCCGCTCCGAGTCCTTATCCATGGCAGCAGAAGCCGGTTTAGGCGACAGCGGTGGTGCAGGTGCAAACCCTGGGAAACTGGAAGAGTTGCTAGCAGCTGGAAGCACTGGTGCAGAGGGGAATATTGGTGCAGCGGGCGGGCATTTGCGTTTTCGTGTCGCGACAGGTGGCCTGCCTCCAGTGCTCTTGCGAGCCGTTTGCTGCTCGTGCCATATGGATGGGTTTTAGACAGTCCTAGTTAGATAAGCGCTCCGGAGATGTACGTTGCGTATACTATCATTGGACCAGTAGTGAATGATTTGAACTGTTCCCTAGTTAAGTCATCTTCCTTCGATTGCACGTACCCCAAAATTGGTGTGAATGGTTCAGATACTATTCTACACCCTCTGCAAATTTCTCAGATTTTTCCAGAGGGCGTAGAGGTTGTACAGCGTAAGGGGACGGGAAGTGAATAAGATGTCACATGTGTCACAATAGGGCTGTGGCGGGGCAGCGGTCACGCTCTGTCACGCTTAGACCTCGGAGATGCAAGACAGTTTTAAATCCTGAACGATGACCACTCCTCCGTTCCACATACAAACTTGAACATGGCATCTACAGACATTTATCATTACAGAGAAAAATTGCCGAAGGTATAGGGTAGCCACAAGGTCCCCAGTGCACACAAGGGACGGGAAGTGAATAGTTATTCACTACTGGTCCAATGATAGTACCTTGACTCTCTTCTTTCTCTGTGGGCTCGGTGCAGCAGCTCCGTCCATTGAAGAGCAGCAGATAGTGGCAAAGTGGCAAGAATCGCGAAGTGAGGCGAACGCGTGCTTCGCGTCTCCCAGGTCCTGCCGAAGACCGGCGGGACACTCCTAACCTTACGACGGTCTTCTTGCGATGGCCTTACGCGTCCATCTGATAGGCTGTTGAGTATCTCACAGTCCCCTCCAGAGCAGTGAGGATCGCAGCAAAAGGTCGACCGACGGCCTCCCAGGCCCTTTAACGCTTTTCTCCGGGCCTATGCGGTACGATGCTCTCGAAGGACGGTGTGGAGATTCGATACTGGTTGATATGACATCACATTGTACGCACCCCGACCTTCTGAGTCTAAATGGGCATCTTGCCTCTTGTAACATCCCATCGTCTCTCGCCCTTGGCTCAGCTGTGAAACGATCAGAGGAAAAATCGCCTGTTTCCTGCGTCTATGATGTCTCATAACTCTAGATATATCCCGGTACCAAAGTCACCACATGTCCATATTGACAGCGCTAAAAAGGAAATACAACAAGCATTGCTAACGTCCGTCGGAAGAGTAGAGAAACATTCAGGAGAGATGAAGTCCAAAAGTGGCGTGTACGTCGGTATTGCAGGTGAGTAAGGCAGAACCAGCTCCGTTCAGAACCGGCTCTGTTCCGATTGCATGACAAGGAACGGAACATGACTTTATAAACGAGTGCAGCCCGAATGTTCACTCAGGCATATTGAGCATCTCTCCCATATGTGCTAGGTATTTCTCTCATGTATAGTTACCTCGCATCGCTCTCTCTTCCTATCCCCGACATTCCCCAAGACGCGTCTGCCTCTCACCTCGTAGCCTCCATTTCCCACTCAGGCCTGTCCACGCCTTCATCTGGATCCCGCTCAGCATTTCTCGAGACGTCCATCGGCCAAGCCATACTCATCCTAGCCGAACAACTCGCCAATCCGGGAGCCTCTCTCTTCCAGCCAGACATTGTCCAGGGCTGCGTGCAGATGCTCAATGGCGCAATGCAAGTCGCCCTGGGGGACAAAGGTGGAAGAGGCAAAGTCGAAGAGGACGGATGTGAAGTGTTATATGGCCGTGCAGGGCTTCTGTATGCGATACTCTACCTCCGCTCTGCGGCAGGAGGTAGCTCAGGGAATTCCTTGGCGAAAACTGTCGAACCTTTGATATCCGACCAAGTCATCCAAGCTCTCGTCGACGATATCATCAAGAGAGGTAAAACGGGAGCGACCTACTATCAGGGAGATTTGAGTGGGAAGGATAAAGAGCGAGCACCGAAGCTAATGTGGATGTGGCACGGGAAGCGATACCTGGGCGGCGCACATGGTGTTGGTAAGTGTCGTGGTAGATAGAGTATTCTTCATGGACGGTTCAACTGCGCGGAATAGCTGGCATCCTTCAAATCCTCCTCTCTGCCCCCACAGAGATTATCCAGCCTCACCTGCCGGTGATATACGATACCGTTGGCTGGCTCATTTCCCTACAAGACCACGAGGGCAATTGGCCGCACAAAGCATCGACCCGGCCGACGAAGCAAGTGACGGAAGATCTCGTCCAGTGAGTGACAAGTTCTCTATCGCAAACAAACTACAGAACGCGTTGGCACAGATGGTGTCACGGCGCCCCTGCAGTTCTGATCCTGCTCTCCACCCTTATCAAACGCGCCAGCGCCCTGCATACCCCTTCCTCCCTCCTCACCGCCGCTAAATCCGCACTGCAACGCGGAGCAGCCCTCGTCTATGAACGCGGCCTCCTGCGTAAAGGCGTCGGGCTATGTCACGGGGTCGCCGGATCAGTGTACGCTTTGCTCGCAGCGTCGGACGTCTTGGACGCAGAGTCCAGCGAACCCATGCAGTTGCAGCGCGCTGTGTATCTGGCTGTGCAGGCGACGCAGTGGGACGACCTCGTGCGGAAGGCCGAGATGCAGCTACCAGACCGACCGTATAGCTTGTATGAGGGGTTGGCGGGGATGTGCTGTGCATGGGGAGCGCTCATCGCGAAGTTGGAGGGCACGAAGGGGAGAGGGATGGTTGGGTATGCGGATCTGCAATTGGAGTAGAACCCGTTCGAGGGTCACGGAAGTCGTACATGTTGTTCTACTGCCTAGCCTGGAAAACAACCCAGCCATCCACGTCGATCTGGCGGCCGTGATGACACTTCTCTCGCAATCGTTCACGGCCCTGAAAGAGCCGGCCATTGGCCTTCCCTGCTCGAAACATACGTGTCCCGACACTACAGAGAACCAGATATGAATTCAGGGAAGCGATAGTACTGATAGATGCGTACAAAAACAACACAGCAGAAATACAACACGTCCAGAGTTACAGCAAAAAGATAGCACATATAGCAAACGGAAGTCACAACAAGTAGAATGAATCACTACGGAGCGCACAGCATCAGTGTCTCCTCGCCCTCTTCGACTGTCTGGAGGAGCCTCTCTTCGGCTGCGACAGACGAGAAGGGCCAGCCACACGCTCGTCTAAAGCATCTCGACCTGTCTCGCGCTCTGGAGGAATGGCCTCTAGAAGTGGGTCGTGTTCTGATGGTTGCCCGTCTCGGGCTGTCGCATCCGGAGGGTCCTGATGCTGAGATTTGATATGACGCTTGCGCGCGTCGTTTCTGGAGAGGCCCTTTCCGCAGATAGGGCAGAAACACTTGACCTTGCAATGAGTGAAGGTCACATGCCGCACAATGCTCCCCAGCGCCATAGGAGGAACAGAGCATCCATGCCAGAGGCATCGATACAACCCCGTGTCCTTGCAAGTAGCCCTCCTAGTCTTCTTCGAGCCTTCCGCGTCCTCGGAGTCGCCTTCCCCACCGAGCCTTCCATCATGGGACGCCAGGTGCGTCCTGACGTCTTTTCTGGAATCTTTTGTGTTGGTGATCGGGATATGCAATCGGCAACCCTCCCACTGGCAAACGACGTGGCGGACTGGGCCATCAGCTTCGGCTGACTGCACACCGCCGTCGAGGTCTTCGTCCCCGGAGCCTTCCTCCATGTTACCTTCTGGTCCGTCCTCTAAGACATCCTCGGGATCGTTATCTGCCTTCCGCTTGCGATTGGGGACTTTAAGGATGATTTGTGCCGGACGCGAACCACTCAGATCATTATTTGCCTCAGGGACGCGATTTGTGGGGCGCGTTGCAGGGCATGGCTCTGCTTAATATACCATCAACGTCAGTAGATGTTATACACACTACTAACGGTGGTATGCTTACCTCTCGTCGCCTGTTGGACAGACTCGCCCAGCACGGCCTTCAATCGTACCCCATCCCCCTTCCTGCTCCTTGTGGAGCGAGCTATCCCTGGATGGTCTGAACAACAGCATCACCGTGAAATCAGAGAAAGGCCTCACCTGCCGAAGGGGCACTCGAGGCCTTACCCTTCCCTTTGCTTTTGCCTTTCTTCGGCGCCTTCTCCCACTCTTGGTCGTCATCGTCCTCGCCTTCCTCCACGATGGCTGCTTGGATATTCTTCGCTTTGCCCTTGCGCTCCACGGAAACCATGTATCGGGCAGTAGGAGTTATACGCCTACCACTCGACGCTACTCGCGATTAGACAGGACACTCTAACGCGATCGAGGACACTTACAGTATCGAGGAGCTACGTACTCCCAGTCAGTGGGAGAGAGGCCACCAAGTGCGACAGGGTTGTCGTTCTCTTTAACTTCGCCCTCAAATATTACGTGTTCGCTATGCTCCGATGCGGTCTCTGAAGACACGACGCGCGCCGAAACTTAGAGATATCTCAACCAGACCAGAGTTTAAAAAAATACATACCATAGCTGTCATCGTCCTCCTCGTCAACAGGTTCCCTTTGCTCCAGGGAGCCGTCCTCTTCATCTCCTTCATCACCCGCCGTTCCGTCTTCTACCAATCTAGAAATCTCGAAGTCGTCCAAATACCCGAGCGGGTATTCTCCATTCTGTGAGTGGAACGGCTCATGTACGTGCTCCTCGATATCTCCCTCTCCACCTGCCACCTCCTCCTCGCTCTCCTCATTATCAGAGATATCAGCGCCTTCGTCCAGGTATTCGAGTGGGTGTTCTCCACTCTCGACGTCGAAAGGCTCATGTGTGTCCTGCTCGACATCGCCCTCTCCATGCTCTTCCTCCTCCTCGCCCTCCTCATCACCAGTGACATCGTCACCATCGTCGACGACGTGGTCAGAGCTAGGGTCATAATAAGATGTGTGGTCGTCGTCATCGTTGAGAGCCGGGGGCTCATGAATAGCGATGAGGGCCTCGAGGCCTGGCCAGATCGGATCCAACGGATCATGCTCGGACCCATCGTCTGAGTAGTTCCAAAGCTCGTCGTCGGACGGGAAATCAGCGTCGGACGGCCATGACGGAGAACTGAGCCAAAGATGAGCGTCATTCAGGCAATAGAGATACATCAACTCACGGAATAGACTGCGTATAGGCAGACATGTCAGCGTAAGAAAAATAAATTGTAAGGAAGAGAGGCAAGGGGAGACAAGCGTCCGATGGCTGAGGGAGGCGACAAAGGAGAATATCGGAGACTGAAACGGAGTCGCTAGATCTTATACACACGGGGGACCTGCAACGCAAAAGGGGAGCAAATAACGCGAGGGACGCGTTGAAAGTTAAACGATCACGAGTGATTGCCTAGAACAGGCATTCCCATTGTTTCGCGCTTGTGGCAACGTTCCGCTAAGTCCCGCGTTGGTTCGAGGGTAGACTCCAAACCCTTCTCTTCTCCCTTGTTCGTGTTTCCTGCATCCAGCTAACATTGATGCGCCCTCAGTCAATTTGATGAACGTTGGAAAGCCGCAGTGTCTCGGGTGACTCTCGAAAATCTGTCATGCATCGCTCCTGGTGGCACTTCCTCCTCGCCGCCACCAAACGCCTCTGATGGGTGCCACTGTAACCAAGCTCAAGCGCAATTCATAACTTTACCTGTAGTCGCTTGATTAGCGTAATTCCTTACTCTTTAAGAGCGACGTTCTTACAGCCTTTTTTGCCGTGTTAAGACGTCCATTTTGTTCGGAGCGCAGTCAAATTCGTATCGACACTTGGTACTACTACACATCCTGCCTATCCTGCATTCTCCCGAGTCTCCCTCCCCAACTGTTCAGCATATGTGCCTGCATATATTTATTGCGCGACACACCTGGCCCTCTGCCTTGTTCCGTCTCTGATACAGCGCCGCCATGAGGCGGCGACGGGCCAGATGCGCTGCGATGGCTCGATTCGGTGCGCTGTTCTAAGCACTAGTCTTGCGTATATCCACGACATATCCCTTTACACCAACCATTTCCCGACATCGAGCTCATCCCCCGAACGAAACCCTGGAATCCTCCGAGCACGCGGTCTGGCCGTGGTAACCGGCGTCCACGATCATGAACATTGCTTATCCGTGACCGTAGGACGCCTTGCTACCGACTGACACCCATCCAAGCACTCAGACCATCGTTTTACTCGGGAGATGAGCTGCGATATCCTCCGATACCTCTCTATGGTGACGCTGGCGTGGCTCGTGGCTCGACGGCTGGCACTCTCTGCGGTGACAGATTATAATGTGGCGCATTCGCTGGTCTATGATACGACCCCGGCATTTTTTGGCGAACATTATCTCTAGAGAATTCGAGGGAAAGGATTTCTGGGAGAGCAAGAGGACGCGGATGGAGAGATGGGTCGCTGTACGTGCGAACCACAGACTCTGCCGGGTACGTCCGTCCGCGTGTTTCACATTTTTCTTGGCTCTAACTGCGACCTTCAAAGCTTAGACTGTTTCTTGGCTGCCGCCTGCTCTTCTTCCCCTCGTTCAATGCTCGAAAGACGTCCTACAACACACTTATCGACTTGTAATCGTCCAGCCAACAGGACTCCTCGCCAGATGTCTGGACGACGTGTGGCTCTCAGTTGTCATATGAATCAATCCCGTTTTGCACGACATACATCTTGGCAGCGTCGAACGGCGGGTACGCCCACCGTACCTTAACGCGTCGCTCGTTCATTCACGCTGTCTTGAGGTAAATGATCGTGGTCGAGCACCGCGATCACCTCTGCTGGTTACGGCCGTTGTATGCCTGTTCGACGTTGGACAGTGCTGGACATACCGGTCTAGCATCATCGGAATCCTTGGCGAGCTTGCTCTTTTCTGACTGGACTTCAGGGAGTCACCGGTCATCCTTGACAATGGTGCTCTTCCGTCGACATCCCACCGTCCTGATGGTTAGCATGCTGCGATCGACTGTCGAATGGTAGCACGGTGCATGCAAGACCTCTCACATCAGTTCCTCCCATATTGATTCCTGTTGTGTGTTCGGTCGTCGCTGCCACCCAGCTTGAGCTCGGGCTTTAGGGTTGTAGAGGCGCGACCAGGCAAATGGATCTCGGTCCGTCCTCTACTTCTAGTCTTTTCCCTCGCCCTTCGCTGTCATAGTCAACGTGCGCTGAAGCACTACTGTCTGGCTGAAGCCTGGGTTGCGACGTGGATCATCGATGGTCGACTGCCACGCCATGTCAACCTTGATCCTCTTGCTAGTGTCCTTCGATTGCCTATAGCGAAACTGATCCTATCTTGAGATGGATGTCTTCATTACCCTTAACTGGGCTATAAGCAGTATGGGGCGTAAGGCGCGGCGTTGTGTTTCATCTCTTCCCGGGCGGATACAGGCACGATTGACTTCGCTCCTTCCACAGGCATACGGAATCTACTTGGGTAGCAGTGGCCGTTGACGAGTGGACTGCGTTTCACAACCGTATCTAACCTTACTCTGGGTACCACTCAGGAATCGGTGGTAGGCTTGAGTTACGCCGGTGAAGTACTGCTGAGTGCTGAGCCCACTTCTTCCCCCCTCCTCCTACTTCTATCAGGTGCGACTGGTCGGCAAAACCTCGCGCTCTGCTGACATTCATGGGTGATGTATTTTTTGATCGTCTAGGCTGTCCGAGCTGTCAGGCAACAACTGGGATACGCGCTATTTCTTCGCTAGTTCTGCCATCCATACTCAGGATGTTATGCTCGCTGATAGCACATCTCTCGAGAGCAATTGCTTGGGAGGGTTTACGTCTGGTTGGGTTTGGTCGGTAATATCATAATGGCCCCGGACTCGCCTTCATCGCGCAGGTACTAGGTCAGGGTCCGCTTAAGCCAGCTCATTCGGGTCTCTCTGAGAGGGCGACACGAGATTACTGACTCCCAGGGCACCGTCCAGTACCGATATAGACTATGACCTCTAGTCCTTTGTACGTATTTCCATACAGTATACCCGGTCAAAGGAGCTCTGACATCCTCGAGAAGCTAACAAACAACAAACCTCTTCGCTTCAAAGCTGCTTCGCGAGTGGTCCTATGCCCATTGGTATTCCTCTCTATTCCCTACGGCGTCTCGCTTATTGTCGTAGGCTGGATGGCATGATCACCGTGCTGCGTGACGGCACGTATTTGCTGGGTGCAGGTGGTCGTCTATATTTATTATCAGAGATGGATAGTAGAGGTGCACTCTTGAATGGCTTTTACTGAGCTTACACGCGCAATTCATCCTCTGATGACTCAAGCACATTCTAATGGGGCGGGGGGCCTTTTGCTTGGCTGCCGAAATCTTGCTGGTGTTAACACGGTCTGACTTGCTCAGAGCCTGACCGCGCTCACACCAACGAGATATCAGCACTCTTCCTTCCGAGTTCGTGTGTTCAAGCGCGGCCCTCCTCCGCTATTATCGTTGTCCGCGTTGGCTCTACGCTGCCTCAGCAGTTTCACAGGATTGCTGTACGTTACCCGTTCTATGTTGTCATCGCATCCTAGGTGGCCCAGAACTGTGGATCCGACAGCGTTGTATGCTTGTAGGAGGCCAGCGATGACCCTCTCGGCGCCGTCACCATCCAAGCACAAGTACTCGGCGCTGCCACTTGGCTGAGGGGTTCAATGGACCTGACTGTCAGAGCTCCGGTGCAAACTACAGGGTTGTCGAGTTGTTGTCGAGTTCACCCTCCGTAACGATGCACCCCATTAGAAGGCAGCTGACAACAGCCTTCAGACCCAGCCCTTATTTGGGCGTGTCATACAGCTACATGTACATCGGAGGCGGAATGGTATTAATGACCCCCGCTAATCCACTGGAGCATGTCCTAATGCTTTCACAGGCCCAAACGATGCACACCCATGTAGTGTACACCTACTTCGGGGCAAGCATCTGGTCTCACATTAATTCGATCTCCCTTGCATTGACCAATTGTCCATGTATTCAAATTCAAATTTCGTATCCCGAGCTGGTCTGTTGTAAACTGTGCTTGGATCGTTGACCATATGCTTGATTTCTCGAGAGGCCTTCAAATATAAGTACTTGTGCCTGCGCTGAGAGGGCGCGACGACAGTGAGAAGGCAAGCGAAGATAGTGGCATCGTCGATGGCGTCTCCAATTCTTGCCATAGCCGCTCATGTCCTGGGAGAACCGCTGGCGGAAGGAGGAGAGGGGACGCAAGGACTTCGAATAAATGAAGCTGTTAATAAAGTCTTAACATCGAGGAAACTATTTGCACAGCAGGCTGCAGCCATCGGTAAGTGAACTAGTACAGAGAAGACAAGTAGAATACAACAGAAAAAGGTGGTACTCATGTCTTACAAAGAAGTCTTGCTACCCCTGAACGGCATCAGTTCAGCTTGCGCTTCTTCCTCGTCGTCTGAGCTTTTGTCGTGGTGCTTGGAGATGAAGGGCCCGGTCTTGTGGTTGTATACGGCTGCGCAACCTCCTGTTCGTCATCAGGGGTAGATCGCGTTCGAAGAGACGACCGTGACCGCGATCCAGAGGGACCTGCTTGTGGATCCTGCGAGGGATCCTTTGGAGTGGTTCGCCTACGCGCAGCCTTGCGACTGCAAGCACCCTTGTTCTGGTGGCGATCGAGGGCATCCTTCCTAGAGAAATCCTTCCCGCAGATCGTGCAGGCAGGGCCCAGCTTGGCATCCGAAAACGAGACGTGGCGGATGAAACTGCGCGCTTGGAAGGGATGTCGATCCTTCTTGCACTCCTTCCAGAGGCACGTTACCATCCTTTGATCTTGGCAACTAAATCGTTCAATGCCGTGGACGAGATGCAGATGATCCTGTACGACTTGCTTAGGGTCGCCTTCGCCCTTTACAACTTGCCCGCACCCCATCCAGGCGCAGGTGAATTCAACCGGTCCCCCGACGGGCGCCGCGTCTTCACGAACTGGGTCTTGCAAAGAAACCGCGACACCTTCGCCATTCCCTTGTTTGATCGATGCTACAAAGACATTACACATGTCAATGCATGGACCTCTGGTCTCATAGACAATACCGATACTTACAGCCGCGTCGACCCTTCGCCCTTTCGGCGTCTATCTCGCAAATTCTATTTGCTTCAGAAAATTCATCTTCGTCCTCAATTGTATATTGCAGTGCAGATCGAGCAGTTTGCTCCCGAAAAGCACGACCTTTTCAAAGGA